TGTTGTGAAAGGTGTGATTTTTCCTTATTTGTCTGAGTGAATTTGTTATATTTGTGTACAGGATTGGTATTACTTTTTACTTGTTAACTTTGTATCTAGCGATGCTATTTAATTTGGTTACTAACTAAAAGTATGTTGGTGGAGTTTTGGGAGTACTGTTCAGTATCATGTTATCTGCAAATAATGATAACAGCTTTCAGTTTTGTTCATTTAGTATGACATTGGCTGTTGGTTTGTCATAAATTACTTTTATTAGATTATTTCAGTTTTCTGTAGAGCTTTTATTCTGAATGGATGTTGGACTTGGTCAAATACTTTTTTTCTTTTTTGCGTCTTTTGACATTATCATACGCTTTTTGTTCTTGACTTTGTTAATATGGTGTATTATATTGTGTTTCTTGAACCACTCCACATCTCTTGGATGAACCATACTTGTTCATGCTGTGCAATCTTTTTGATGATTTGCTGCATCGTATTAGCCAGTGTCTCACTGATGATTTTTGCGACTATATGCATGAGGTATATTGACCTAACTGTCTTTCTTGATTCGGTACTTCTCTGGTTTTGTTTCCAAGAATGAATTTTGGAATATTGTTTTCCTTTCAAATTCATTAAATAGTTTAAGAAGTAGTGGTATTAGGTCTTTAAATTTCTTATGGAATTCAGCAGTGAATTTGTCAGGATCTGGACTTTTTTTTGTTGATAAGTTTTTAAGTACATGTTCAATTTCATAGACTGTGTTATTTAGAATTCATTTATCTTCTTGATTTAGCTTTGGTAGTTCATATGTATCTAGGAATTTGTCTATTTCATCTGCGTTTTCCATTTTACTAGAATACAGGTTCTTGAAGTAGGTATAGATGAGCTTTTGCATTTCTGCCGGATCTGTTTTGATTCCATCTTTTTCATTCTTTATTGGGTAAATTTGAGTCTTTTCTTTCCTTTTTTGATAGGATTGGCAAAGGGTTCATCAATTTTATTAACTTTTCAAGGAACAACTCTTGGATTCATTCTTTGTGTTGTTTTCTTAGTCTCCATTTCTTTGATTTCTGCTCTGATTTTTATTATTTCTCTCTGTCATATGAGCTCTAGACGACTTGATTTTTGTCTAGAAGCTTGAAGTTCAACATTGTTTGTCCATTTGAGCTTACTTTGCTTCCCTGTATATTCACCATTATAAATTTCCCTCTTAGGACTGCTTTCATTTGTGTCCTGTAAGTTCTAATGTATTGTATTGACATTATCATTTAATTGTAGAAGCTGTATAATTTCTTTAGTTTCATCTGTACCCATTGGTTGTTCAGGAGACCGTTACTTAATTTCCATGTGTGTGTGAAGTTCTTGTGGCTTCTTTTGCCATTGATTTCAATTTCATTGTGCTGTGGTCTGATAATACACATGGGATGATTTCAGTTCCTTTGCATTTACTTAAGCATGTTCCATGAGCTAGTATGTGGTCTCTTTTGGAGAAAGACCCATGTACAGTTGAGAAGAAAGTGTGCTTTGATGTTGTAGGGTAGAACAGTCTGTAGACATCTACCAAAACCATTTGTTCAAAAGTTTGGTTCATTTCTAGTATTTCATTATTGGTTGTTTTTGTCTAGTTGATTTGTCTGTTTCTGACAGCGGGGTAATGAAGTTTCCCATTACAGTTGTAGTCATGCTTATTTGACTTTTCATATCTCTTAGTATTTGTCTTATATAGTTGATTGTACTGGTTGGTATGTGTGTGTGTTTTGTTTTTGGTACCAGGAATTGAACTTAGGATCGTGCACTTGACAGGCAGATGCAGTGCCACTCAGCTGTGTCTCCAGCCCGGTTGCACTGGTTTGTGGTGCACATACATTTATGGTTTTTTTTTTTTCTTTTCTTTTAGGATTATTCCCTTAACAGGGATGTAGAGATCTTGTTGGTCTCTCTTGATCTGCTTTTTTTGGGATTCTTTTCACATGGAGTGTTGTTTCCCATCATGTGACTTTCGGTCTTCGAATTTGTTTTCTAATTAAATGTGTTTCTTGTATGTAGCGTATTGTTGCATCTTGCTTCTTGATCTATTCTGCCAGTCTCTTTTGACTGGTGAATTAAGAACTTTAACATTCCTGGTTATAATTGATGTGTATTGACTTGTCCTTGTTACGTGTATTTCCTCCTGTTGGTTGCCTTTCTTTATCCTTTAATTACTTTCCTTGCCTGTTGGATTATTCTTTCTTTTGGAGTTCCTGTAGTTGTCTTTGTTCTCTTTTTCTAGAATGTCAGTTAGCATATTTTAGTGTTGATTTAGTGCTCATGAATTTCTTCAGGTGTTCTTTGTCTTGGAAATACTGTATTTCTTCGTCAGTTTGGAGAGATACTTTTGCAGGCTACATCATTGCTAATTGGAGCTCTGTATGGTTCATTTACTTGTATGTCAAATTCTTTTTCTGTGCTTCTGAAATTTTCTGCCATGACTTCTGTGAACAGTTTTTTGTACTATATTATACTTTTTCGTTAATTGTCATAAATACTATATTATTCTAGGTGCCCGAAACCATAGCTATTGTATTCTCCTGCATTCACTGCTCCATTCCACTAGTGCTTTTCTCCTTGGTGGCCTGTGGGGTCTCCAGTTGTCACTGTGTGCTTCTATAGATTTGAGCTCTTTGCTGTCCCTGTGGGCTCTGAGTCTACCTTCAGATATTTGTTGGGTTCCTGGTACCTACTTTTTTTCTCATTCTCTTTCTCATGTTGCTATGTATTCCAGTATCTAGGTTCCAAATACAGGAGAGGTTGTTTCTCTGCTGTTCCCCATCTTGCTGTTGTCTGAGACGTTTGCATGATTAGTATAATGGAGAAAATGATGATAAATTAAGAAAACCTAGTTGCTAAAGTTGAATCACCACTCACCATTTAAAAAATAAAAACTGTGACCTCTTAAGCTAGGTTTAAAAGGAAACCTAAAATAAAAACTGATTTGAATATGATAATATTCCTTCTAAAATCAGAAATAAGAGTTACGCTGTATTATTGCAGCTATCAAACTTTGAATAAGAGGCCTATTGTATAGAAAAAAGGGATCAATTTAAGAAATGGAAAGGTAGAAACATGATTTGAAAGTATTAAGATTATTTATATTAGCAATGGCAGATTATGGCTCACAATCCAAATGAAGGGAGACAGTTGTTTTTGTACTGCCTATGAGCTAAGCATGATTTTCTTACATTTTCAGTGGTTGAAAAATATTTTATACTACATGAATATTACATGAAATTCGGATTTCAGTGTCTGTGTTAGTCATTTTCCTGTTGCTGGGACAAAATAGCCAGCACTTACCCACAACTCGAAGGACAGTTTTGTTGCCTGCCTGCCTGGCTGCCTGCCCGGCCGCCTGGCTTGCTTACTGACTGACTGGCTGGCTTGCTTGCTTTTTTTTTCTCTTTCTCTTTCTCTCTTTCTTTCTGTTTCTGTTTCTCTCTCTCTCCCTTTTTCCCTCCTTCTCTCTCTCTTTCTTTCTCTTTCCTTTTTCAGAGGGTTCAGTCCATGGTAGGCTGGCCTTAAGGCAGAAGTAACATGATGCAATCATGTGGTGGAGGACAGCTGCTTATTCCATGGCAGTGAGGAAGCAGATGCAGGAATGTGTCTTTCAGTCATGCTTCTATTTGGGTCATCTTAGAATTGTGATTGCCATGTAACATTTTTGTATAAAAACTTTCTCAGCCTTATCACCAGTAATCTACATTTTAAGACCATATTGATAATAGTGTTGTATACCTACAGTCTTGTCAAGTGGTAAGAAATCTGAGCATATACTGAAAACAGAGATAAATAAGAATTCTTACACACTGTTAATAGGGGTATAAGTTGATACAGTTATGCTGTAAGATAATGTAACAATGTAAGGTTACTGTAAGAAATACAGTATTTTATCTAGGAATTCTGGATATATACTTAAACTCTAGAGAGATTCTGATATGCACTGGGAGACATGTATAGGAATGTTCATAGCAATGGCAAACAATATCCATTGACAAGAGAATGGGCATATAAAATTCACAAAACATTGAATCTTACAACTATAATTGTGAAAAATCAGACTGTTGCATTTTCTGAAAACTGAAGTAGAAAGTTCATACTAAAAGAATACATCAGTGATTATGTGTGTTGTATAATTTGTGTTGATTGATAATTATAATTAAAGAACATGTCAAAAATGTGTAGTTGATGAATTTTCATAAAGTAATATGCCTTTGTAACTTGTTTGTGTCAAGAAACACATTTGTAAGAACAAGATTTTTTTAAAGGAGGATGAATCTGTAAGATTTGATTAGTATTTTAGGTAAAAGCCATAATGTATGCTGAGGTTGTAGTTGTTGTAGTGACTAAGATAGATACAGGAAAATAGTCTGAGAGTTTTCATATTTTAAAGGTACAAAACAGATTCGGACCACATGAGGGGTTATGCTGTTGTAGGCTAAAAATTATTTTGCTAAGGCATGCTAGGTGGCATGCTAAGTTTTAAGATACCTCATTAGAATTGTATTTACACAAAACATTAGTTCTTAAAATGCAGTCTAGCAAGTAAAAGGGCTTTATAAAAATGTTTTTTTAATTAAAGTAAAGAATACATTTGCAGTGTGATAGTATTAGATTTTATGTTGAAAGAAACAAGGGCTAGTGAGTGACATTAGGATTTAATTTAAAACCTGTTCTGTCGTTTGAAATCTATGGTCCTTGGACAAGTAAAGGGGACCTTATGGGTTCCCATGGAAATGAAAACAGCCTCTCCCAGTACTGTTGCAAAGGGTAAATGAGAGCACAGAAGGTCCAGTCGCCAATGACCCAGTGTATGTTAAGATTTAGTAATAGATGTTTGCAAATGAGGACTTCATAATCTTTCTTTTTCAAATAGATTTAAGATTTCCTATAACTAAAATCTATCACTTTAATAAAGCAAATATAAATCAGAATTCCTGTTTAAAAAGTGTATTATTTTTCTTAGATTGTCCCTTTTGTTTTTATTACAGATCAATGTAAGAGTAACTACAATGGATGCAGAGTTGGAATTTGCCATTCAGCCCAATACAACTGGGAAACAACTTTTTGACCAGGTATTTAATAGCATGCAGCATGCAATTTGTGACACCATAATACGGATATTATTGCATATTTCTGTGTCTGTGTTTTCCTATACTTTCATCAATAATCCAACAATGTAGCACTTGCAGTTTTTCGTAGCATGTAGTTAGGTAACTAATCAGCTATAGGGATATTCTTTATTCAGTCTCATTCCTATATTTATGGAGTAAGACTTTTTTAAATTTTAAAATGACTTAATTCATACACATAATTATATATAATGTAATGTCCATATATATAATGTATAAAGTTTAAAGTTGTTAATGTACCTGCTCAGTTCTTGCTTTTACTTTATTGTTTTATTTTAAAGAGGAAAAAACCAAGGGAAAAAGTCAATCAAAATAAACCAAAATAAATGATACAGAACTTCCACGTCTTTTGAAATCAACAGCAGTTACCACAAAGCCTTTGTTATCCTCGAAATAGCTGCAGATATCACCTTCGGACATATTAAAAATCGAACAGAATGGGATAGAGTAGAAACAATAAAAACAAAACAATGGATGCAATAAAGAACCTCAAAGCAAGCCAATAGTGAATTCATAATGGCTTCCATAGTATGTCTTGCTGTCTTTCAAATAGCTGCTCATGCCATCAGAGTTAACATAAGTAAAACAAAAGGGAATAAACCCCAACCCAAAAGGAGAAACAGTGAAAGTGATACGGTTTCCAGGGTGGGGGATCTTCGCCCTGTAGATCGTGGTTCTCTCCCTCCACAGTCTGTGAGTGGCACTGACCCCTGCTCAGTTCATTTTGGTGAAATATTAGAAATGCTTTCTTCTAGCTTCTTAAAATGTATTGTACATTATTATCTGTAGTCACTTTTCTGTTTAATAGCTTCTCAAGCTGCTTCTTAGAACCCATTGATCAACCAACTTTTCCTCATTTCTCCCTACCCTGACTCTCTCCAACCTCTCCTAATGATCATTCTGTTCTTGGTTTTTAGGAGATTGTTTTTTATTTCTTTCTTTCTTTTCTTTTTTTGTCTTTTTGAGACGTGGTTCCACAGTGGAATTCAGGCTGGCCTTGAACTCATTTTGTAGCCTAGGCTGGCCTCAGACTTGGAGCTATCCTCTTGGCTCAGCCATGCGAGTGCTGGGATTTGCACACCCGGCAAGATCAACTTTTTTTTATTACACATGAGACAAATTATGTGGTACCTATTTTTCTATGCCTGACTTACTTAACATAATGATTTCTGATTCCATCCATGTTATTGTAGGATAGGATTTTAAAATAATAGTATCAGCAGTTCCTTACCATCTCCTGTGCAAATCAATGTAGTGGTGATTGAAAGGAATTTACAGACATCTTACGTAGCTCTGAATGAAGTAGATAAAGGTCCTAGGTAGGGCGGTAGGAGCAAAGCATGGGGAGTTGTGTGCTGTAATGAAACAGTTAACAGCAGTTTGCTGTCCCTGACTCAAGATTTTCTAGACAGTGGATAGGACATAGAGATCAGCTGTGTCCTCTTAGGTAACTGGGACTGTTGAGGTTGTCTTTGTTTTCCCCCCTCAGTCTTGAGAGTCTCATGTCTGTGTGTGTTTATGTGTATGTTGAAGAAAAAGAAAAAAAAAGTCAGTGCTTACAAACTCCTTTTAGGGATTCTTATTTCATTGTCTGGGCCTACTATAGTAGTATTCTAAAACTTAAACTGCTCTAACCATGCTGTATTATAATTCTGTAAGTCATCAAGTTTTATTTATTTATTTTTTTTGGTGGTACCAGGGATCGAACTCACAACCTTGTGCTTGCCAGGCAGGTGCTCATGCTGCTGAGCTAAATCCCTGGCAAGTCATCAAGTTTTATTGAGAAAAGGAAACAAGAGATCAGTGCCTAGAGGCCAAACAAGAAACTAAAGAGATACATTGCTGTGAGAGAGGAAGGCAGTATGTCATACATGACTTGAGATCTAAAGGATAATAGTATTTACATAAACTTTATGTGAACTTTTTTTATACAAGAACAGGAGAATACTTGTGTATGGTCAGGTGAACTTGATTTTTTTTGAGGGGGGAGGGGGTATCAGGAATTGAACTCACAATATTGCGCTTGCCAGGCAGGCACTGTGCCCCTCTGAGCCAGATCCCTGATCCTAAACTTGATCTTGATAATGAGATAGTTACAGGTGTTGCTGTGGTACGTGCCTGCAATCCCAGCACTCTGGGAAGCTAAAGCAGAAACCCTGAAAGTTTGACCTTGGGCATCTTACTCAGATCATATTTCAAAATAAAAAGAGGGCTGGAAATTTAGCTAAGCGTTAAAAAGAGTCTAGCATTACTGCAGTAAATACTAGATATCTTGATTTTATTATGTGCCATTCTATCACATACTGATACATATCTTATTTGTTTGTTTGAGGTGGGGTCTTGCTTTGCAGTTCAAGCTGGCCTTGAACCCACTTACAGAGCCCAGGCGGGCCTCGGGCTCAGCAATCCTCTTGTCTCAGCCTCTCACATACTGGGATTATAGGCATGCGCCACCATGCCTGTCTGATAGAAGTTTGATGAAATAAAAATTAAAATTTTAAGAAATTTTTCATTTCCTGATTGGATAATTAATGAGTTTTAAATCTTAAAAAGTTTTTTTAATGAACAGGTTTTTTTTGTATGTATGTTTGAGCAAATTTGTAAAGCAAAAAGTGTAACTATAAGGCATGATCTGTGTGCATCATGCCTGTGAATTAATAGACAGTTCTGTGGATTCTTTTAGGCCTCTTGGTGCATGTGTGTGTGTGTGTACACGAACATACATAAATATATGTATTTTGAATAAAAATGCAAATAGAGTTAGTGTTTCTTGTACTCAACTAATTTAAATGTTATATTGAAATTAATCATCAAAATCAGTCAGCTTCTTTGGTATTATCCTTGTGAAGTATTTACTTTTTCAAGTAGAACTGCATTCACGGGGCACCAGGGAACCCTTACACACTATACTAGACAGTGAGGTGCCGTCGTTCAGAGTGTGTGGGCTCTGCAGTGAAGGTGCCATTAGTACTGTCAGTAGTGCCTGTGTGGCATTGGGAGCATTCATCTGTTTGCCTCATTTTGTGATTTGTACATTTAGGGTGATGATAGCATTGCTGTCTCAGAGGGTTATTTTTGAGAATTAAAAGTGAATCTAGATAAAGTGCGTGAAACAGTATGTGACAGTTTTACACGCAGCTATATTCACACTGCGAATGATGGTTATAGAGATGATTGAGTATCGTTATTTGTTATGGTTTCTTAGTAATTCTTCAGTCGTTGTTCTGTTTCTTGACAACTGCCCTGGACCCAAATGGAAGAATGTAAAAGCAGTTTTTACCTTGGTTGCAGTGAGTGTGTGGATGAGCTGGCAGGTAAATGGGTGAGAGCAGCAGCAGAGCCCTCTGAAGAGAAGGTGTACGGTCCACATCATCAGCAAAGCCCTACTTTCGATGATAGTGTTAGATGGAGGCCAGCTGCAAGGGTTAGAGGCGCTTGCATTGAGGGAATGAAGTCCTTCAGCTTGTTCTTTCCTTAGTCTTTCTTATGGGTCTATTCATCCAACTTCTGCTTGTGAAATTAAAAGTATCCATGTGCCCAGGGAATGTGCAAAGAAAACCTTTTAGGGTTACAGGAAATACTGAAATGTCTGTATTTTTATCTTTCTTCTTCCAAATTTATTTAAAAGAGGCATGCTTTATAGTATATTAGCACAATAGTATATACTATGTACTATCGGTAGTGTATATTGTATACTGTAAGTCTTGTAAGTAAATTTATAGCTATACAGTACTTTTTGCCAGCAGTTTTCACTTATAAAAGTATGTAATCAAAAGTAGCTGTTTGCATATCCTGAAGAAGTAGGGGAAAGGTCAGTGGGGAGATTAAGGCTATTGGGGTACGTCACAGCTGAGCTCTCTGGGTCCTCCTGTGTTTGTTTTGAAAGGCTGCATGCTCCTTGTGCTCAGCCAGCACTGTGAATCTCCCAAAGCACTGCAGGCCAAAGCTGAGACTGGCTGCTTGGATTCATTTCACAGCGCCGCTCTTGACCTGTGCATTTCCTGTTCCTGCCCCTCTCAGCTGAACTGTTCTCTGTGATTCCTTGGGATTGCCGTTTGTTTCATCATTCATTGTTTTTTACTAATAAGCTTTTGTATCAATAGTGTGAGTCTTTATATTGCATATCTTCCAGAAATCTGTATGTATCATTTTAGGAAATTTTTTAGATAAGGGCAAGTAAAGCAAAGAGTTCAGTTTGGTATTTTGAAATCAAGAGCCTGCAGTGTTAGGAGATTAAAAAAAGATGAATATTTATCATTAAGAACGGATGTTTTGTAAAGCTTTCTAAACATTGATGAGGTTACTGTCCCTGGCTTATTTCCTACATGTTTTTAAAGTACAGTTTTTCTTGTTCCTTTAACAGACACTTGTTAAATGTGGGGATAGTATGAGTATCTCCACCATTTCATTTACTTTACTACTTTTGAGTGCCTACCACAAGCTTACAATTTTACAAGAAAACATGAGTATTAAGACAATAAAATTGTATCTCTGTTCCTAAGTGTTACATATTAAAGCAGAATAAATATGCTATAAATAATAAATAACACAGGTAATGATGATAGGCTAGAATAGTATTTTAACCAGTAAAAAAAGTATGTTGGGACCATTAGGGAACAAGTGATTAATTTTATCTGGATGATAGGAGAATTTTATTCATAGAAGTCGTATTAGTTGAGTGGGGCTTGAAGATTGAAGTACTCAACAGGTGATAAAAGTACAGAAGAAACATTCTAGGCAGAGAGAAAGAAGCACGAGCAAAGACCCAGAAGGGTGAGGTTCCCAGGGCGCTGTGCTGCTCAGCGAGGTGAAGCAGACTGCAGTGGATTTCTGTAGTACCGGTGTGATGCTGTTTGCCTAAGTACTGTATTTGTAGGAGGAGTAAATTGAAAGAGGTATGAGGATGATTATAACTTTATATTCTCCCGAGTTAGTTGTTGAGGTTATGATGGGAAATAAGGAGATGTTACAAAAATTCAAATAAGAAAGGAAGATTAAAATGGTACTGTAAAATTGAGTATACAAAACCTGAGTTGAATTTAAGCTAGGCATGGCAGCATACACTTGTAATCTCAGGACTCTGGGAAGCTGAGTCAGGAGGGTCACAAGTTCAACTTGTAACAAAATGAGAGCCTCTCCAAAAAAACAAAAAAAAAAAGAACATTTGAATTTAATACTCACTGAAAATGGCAAACTTAGGAAAGGCTTTTTGTATGGGGAAACAATATATCTGTGCTTACATAGTTTTGTTTTTTCAATCTATAGTGTCTAGTGTTAGTTACCTAGTTATAATGTGAATTTGAACTATTTTGTTTTCCAGGTGGTGAAAACCGTTGGTTTGCGTGAGGTCTGGTTTTTTGGCCTGCAGTATGTTGATAGCAAAGGTTATTCAACATGGCTTAAACTAAATAAAAAGGTATGTATGATCAAATTAACTTATATTTGAAGTTAGAGATTGAGCTCGGAAAGCCAAGGGTCCGACAAGTTCTGAGTCTTTCGCAGCTGTGTCTGTTAATCATTACAGAATGTTAATTCATCTTCTTACTTTGGAAAAAGATTGCTCATTTTTCCACTTGAAAACTTAGCATATAAGAATCTCTGATTTAAGGTATGTGTTACAAATGGGATAACTAAGTACTTTCGCCCTGATTTAAACATTTGTAGCATAAAGCTGAGATGGTTGAGCAGGACTGTAATCCCAGCATTCTGTGAGGCTCAGAAAAAGGGATTGGAAGTTTGAGTCCACTCTGGGCAACTTAGCGGGACCCTTTCTTAAAATAAAAATTTAAAAAAGGGCTGGGGGATAAAACTCCCTGTGAAGGCACTGTTTTAACCCTTAGTGGAAAAAAAAAAAATCCACAAGATAAGCTTCTTAAGAACGTGAAGAAAAGCTTTTCAGTATAGCTGAACATAGAATTTTCTTTTCTTACATGTGTCTTTGCAGATTCACAGTCATATTTAATGCTACTTACTGATTTAGAGTTTTTTAAAATTAAGTTTGTTGGTACATTTTAGGTATGCATTTAGGTATGCATTTTAGGTATTCAATGTGGGGAACTTGTCCCTGTGCAGGATATAACTTGATTCTTTCTTGTCTCATTCCTCTACACTTCTTCAACCTCTTGTCTCCTTCTTATTTATAAAAGACTTGTTTCCATCTTTTTCTTTTTTCTCATCTTTTTTTAACTTATAATCTTTTATTTCACTTACTTCCTTGCAAAAAAATGTGATGTGACTAGATTCAGTTATTGTGAATTTAAGATTTTTGATGATTGTACTTGAAATTATTATTCCAGGTGACACAGCAAGATGTTAAAAAAGAGAATCCCTTACAGTTCAAGTTTAGAGCTAAATTCTTTCCTGAAGATGTTTCTGAAGAATTAATTCAAGAAATAACACAAAGACTTTTCTTCCTGCAAGTTAAAGAAGCCATCTTAAATGATGAGATATATTGCCCACCAGAAACTGCAGTTCTTTTGGCTTCCTATGCTGTCCAAGCCAAATATGGAGATTATAGTAAAGAGATTCATAAACCAGGCTACCTGGCCAATGATAGACTGTTACCCCAGCGGTAAGTGAAACACGCCTTTAGGTTATAGTCTCTGAAAATTTTACACCGGAAGTTTCAAATTTAAAAAAAAGTGTTTTTTCCTATACTTGAATCTCAGGAAAATGGATCAGAATCTATGTTTTCTGATCAAGTATATTTTTAAAAATCATGACCTAGTCACTACATAGATTTATCTGCTCCATAATTGCCTAAAGTAGTTTTTTCTGTCTTGATTTCCATAGCATGACCAGTAAGGAGGCTTTGATGTTTTGTGCTTGAAAAAGGATGTCAGTTGTTGTTTAGTAAGAATTCTGAAACATGTAGACAGGTGTTTAATAAATGCTTATTTATTTATTTAAAACTTTTGAGAAAGGGTTTTGCCAAGTTGTTCAAGGTGGAGTTGAATTTGTGATCTTCCTGCCTTTGCCTCCAGGAATGCTGGCATATAGGCCTGTGCAACAATACCTGGCTATTCTTACAGTTTGTTTTGTTTTTTCTTTTTTTGGGACAGAGTCTCACTGTGTAGTGCAGGTTGGTCTTAAACTTACGTATGTAGCCCAGGCTGGCCTCGAACTCAAGGTGGTCCTTTTGCCTCAGCCTCCTGTTTGCTGGGATCACAGACATGCACTGTCACCATGCCAGGCTGTTTTTAAGTTTTTGAAAAGGCTTTTTAACCAAGGGTTTCAATCTTATTTTCTAGTGTTGTGTTCCAGTCTACAGTGTTGATCTACCTCTTTAAGTTATCTTAAAGTCCCATGACATAGAATGGGGAACTAGGTTTTGAATACTGATGCTACTCTTTGGTAATTACATTACCTTGAATATATACAGCCTAAAATTTCTGAACTGCAATAAATTGATGTGCAGTTAGGATGAAAGTTCTGTTCTTCCTGGCATCCAGCTTGTGAATATAATTCACAAAATGGGTGGTTTACAACTTGTATAGTACAATTGTAGTTTGATATTATTATTTTAAATTAGAAAGTGTATTGTCAAATGTATTTTAAAATCTCAGATGTTAAACTTGCACATACGTCCCTGGTAAGAAAAAGTACATTGAGGTCTTTGTTTTAAAACCTGGAAAGATTTTTTACTGTGCTTGAAGGTCCCACCACTTATCAAAACTATCAACATGAGTTTTGGTGAGGAGAACCTAGAAATGTCCTTCTGTTTTGATAGTGATTCCAACCCCAAATCCTTTTTTTTGCTTTTTGTTTTTTTGAGGCAAGATTTCACTGCATTGTCCAAGCTGATGCTGAGTCCCTGACAATATCTTGCCTTAACCTTTTAAGAGCCAGAACTACAGTGCCCAGTTATCTCAGGTTTTTTAAGTAGTGAGTTGAATAAGCAGTGACGGATGCTGCTTGATCTCAGTTTCTAAGTGCAGAAGAGGAGAGAAGCCCTTGTATAAAATAACCAGTGATTCAAAATAGCATTGGAGGAGTGTTGTATCATGGAAGCCAAGATAAAAGAATGTTTTAAGGAGAGAGACTGGTCAGCCTGTCATGTAGTTCAAAGAGATCAAGTGTGAGAGCAAACTGAAGTATCTGTTAGAATTAGAAATTGGTAGTGACATTAGTAAAAGCAATTTCTGTAGACTGTGTTTCACATTGAAGCCAGATTATGGATTGGGGACGGTGAATGGCAGGTATAGAAGCTATGGTTAGAGAATGTGGACGGTTCCTAAATTTGGTTCTGAAAATGAAGTGAATACTCTAGGGATAAGAAAGTGTATTTCTAGATTTGTTCCTTCAAGAGGGAGAGAATGAATGGTACACGTTTGTGCTTTTCCAGTGCTACCAGCGGCCATGTGCTAGTGAGCAGTTGGCTATCCTGGGTGATACGTCTGAGGCTGACCACATGCTTCTTACCAGGTTGGAGGCAAGGGAGCTAGAGGGCATACAGACAAGGAAAAGGAGGAAACATAAACACAAGGACACAATTCCTCACTGAAGGAAGAGCTTGAGAGTGCCTAGAGAAAGCAGCCGGATGTAATAAAAACATAATGGTCAGACTCCCATTAAAAATCCACTTTAAGTTGTGTAGAACTTGTCCAGGGAAAGATCCCAGCCTTAAGATTTCCTTATACTGCCAAGAAATCCCTAGGTTTCATGCACAATTTTTACCAAGTAAAGCAACTGTTATTTCAGTACAACAGCTTTTGCGATCAATGAAGTAGGATCTAAGGATTCATCACTAATGGAAAGTGAACAGTTATTTTATAGCACAAAGAGAAAATCATAATCCATAATGTGTAGAGCAGTAAAGCACAAGCATGTTGATTTTCCTAATTTTTTGTTAAAACACTGACAGTAAAAGATAAGAATGGTTGTACTTATTTACATTTGAGTAATGAACGCTGGAGGTTACAAAAGAAACTAGTATGTAACTTAAGGAGGAATTGGGCCCAAGAATCATGGTTTTCTGTCCTTTGATTTTCCATGTTAAAACTGAGAAAGCCAACCCAGGCATGGTAGCACATGCGTATAATCATAGCGCTCAGGAGGATCACTGAATTCGAGGCCAGCCTGGGCTACATAGCAAGTTCAGGGCCAGCCTCAACTATGTAGTGAGACCTTGTCCTAAAAAACAAAACACACACACACACACACACACAGAGAGAGAGAGAGAGAGAGAGAGAGAGAGAGAGAGCGAGCCATTTTTTGAGTTCTATTTATTCATTAGAAACATTTGAATTCTTATCAGCTATCTTTACAACAGCTATAATTAAAACTATATTATTTAGAATAAGCTATTCAAAAGCTTTTTACTTGGAGATAATTATAGATTTGAATGCTATTATTTTACATGTATATGTATATATTTTGTTTGTTTTTGAGACAGGGTCTCACTATATAGTTCAAGCTGGCCTTAAATTCTGTGTAACCCAGGCCAGCCCCGCACTCATGGCAATCCTCCTGTCTCAGCCTCCCAAATCCTGGAATCATAGGTGTAGACCACCCTGTCAGGCTCAGATACTAGTATTTTAAAGATGATAGATTCCATGTATCCTCCCAGGTGGTCATATCCTGTATAAGTGGAGTTTGGTATTAAACCAACGTGTTGCTGTTGACCCCATCTATTCACATTCATCAATTTTGCCATGTATATTGATTGCTATGACAACTACCACAGCTAGATTAACAAAGTGGTTCTAGACTTCTAATGGAACATTAATTTCGAATCGTAAGGTGTTAACGGATTTGTCCCCCTTTTAGTGTTTTGGAACAACACAAATTGACTAAAGAACAGTGGGAAGAAAGAATACAGAACTGGCATGAAGAACATAGAGGAATGCTAAGGTAGTTGCTTGGCTATCTTTATGTCTTTTTCAAGTTAAAAGTATTTTTTTAAAGGTCTGATATTTAGTGTTACATCAGATTATCACTCTGGAATCATTTCACTTACATAGATAAATGTAAAAACACTAAATTTTAATCCCAGATATTTTTGTATGTTTAATGTTTAGATACTTAAGTGTATTACATTTACCTTTATTTCAACAGGGAAGATTCGATGATGGAATACTTGAAGATTGCACAGGATCTAGAAATGTATGGTGTCAACTATTTTGAAATAAAAAATAAGAAGGGTACTGAATTGTGGCTAGGTGTTGATGCTTTGGGCCTGAATATTTATGAGCACGATGACAAGTAAGTAAATTAGTTGCATAGTCAGGTAGTCATTATTTGGTGGTCTAAATGGTTTTCACATTATGTTGTTTGTAGAAGTTACTTCTTGTCTTATTGCCCTTAATAATTTTTTCATCACATTACAAGATTTGTTGATGTCACAGACTGTTAGATACTGGATTACTATTTTCTTATCACCACCTTGCAGTTTCAGAGTTCCACTTCTCAGTATGTTGGTCAAGTAGGATGATACTTTGATTTGAAGTTTATCTTTTGAGAGTTATGTTTAGTAACTTAATTAAATCTTTTCCCTCAGACCTTGTGGCATAGTTCATTGATAGGACACCACTTACTTAGTGTGTTTAATCCCCAGCACTGCCAAGATTTTTTAAAAAGATTCCCTCAGTAGGTTAAGAATTATTCCTTACATTTTATTATGCCTAACAAATAGGTTGAAATTGAAGTTAATGTATATAAGAAACAAGAAGCAATGAGAAAATGAAGTTAATAGAGGTATGTTTGTTGCATTTTAGAACGTATTGTTTGAACGCTTATTGGAATTGTTTTGAATACTTTTGAACATCATTAGAATAGCTGTATTTTACAGTTGACTGGCTTTTTAAAATTTTATTTATGTAAACAATTCATCAATACTTTTTGTATATATACCGTATATATGCTAAATAAACACGGCTAGGTGTATAGAACTATATGTAATGTACGAGATTCTTATAGCCCTGTTGTTTGTTTATTTATTTCTTGGTACCAGGTATTGAACGCAAGATCTTGATCTTGTGCTTGCTATATGTATTTTTTTTTTTTTTTTTTTTTTTTTTTGGTACCAGGAATCAAAGTCAGGACCTCATGGTTGCTAGGCAGGCACTGTGCTGCTGAGCTATATCCCCAGCCCTAGCCCTTTTTTAGAAAAAAGTTTCTTTTATAAAAGCAATCAAGTCTATACCAGTAAAGCCTTTTCCCTAAGGCATTACAGTATTCTTTATTCTGCATTGATTCCAGAATTCTAGTTTTTATATGCTTATATCTAATAATATATGTATCCCAAAGTATATGTAATGATTCCAGAAAAGGATTTAAATAAAGATCTTACTCTGTTATATCACAGAGCAAGTTAGAATGCTGTATTCAGAAGAAAAACTTCGAATTTTTTTTTTTTTTTCAAAAAAAGATCACTTCAATACTGATTTTTTTAATGGACTGACTCTACTTCTCTTCTTCTTCTCTTTTTTTTTTTTAACATTTTTGTTTTGATTTCCAAGATCATCTCAGACACTTGTTTTAGAAGTTTTTAAGGCAGCATATAAATACAATAAAGTATTTATTACCTTAAAAGTATTATGTTCCCAAAACCTCCTTTTCAAGCAAGTTACTTTTATCTCAGGCTGTATACCACATTGAGTAAAGAATTTTTACATAGAAAAAATGATTTGTGTGCTATGGGACTAATTTGCTTAAACATTAAAGGTAGTAGAAATAGGTAGAGATTCTTGCTTTATCAGAAGCTTGACTGAAAGATGTCTTTTGGCCAGTATAGTGGTCACATTTTTCACTCTTGTGATTAGGAGATGATGGTAAGGCATTTATGTATGCACAGTGAAATAACAGTCTGAATCAGGAAAATATATGAAAAAGCAGAATCAGAATTACTTATTCTAATCTCATTTCCTGTATCTTTGTGACTAGGAAGGTAAAAAAGGGAGCCAAGTATTCTATAGTCTGTTTGAGATATGGCTCTGCCATTGATCCAGCCATTCATGTGTGTAAATGTTTAAAGCTTTTTTTTTTTTTTGTCTTTTTGAGATGTTTAATGATGCAGTTCAGGCTGACCTTGAACTCCACTACATTTCTGCCTTACCCCTTTCCAAGTGCTGTGGTTACAGACATGTGCCACTGTACCCGGCCTAAAACTTTTCTATTGAGATACAATTCATACATTATAAATTAATCCTTTTAGGATATACTGAAAATACAGCGTGTTTGATAGTCATATGTCCAAACCTTTTTTTAATTAAATAGAGGAAATAATTCAGTAATTTATGTCCAGAATCTACATGAGAAATTATAGTGGCTTAAGTGTTTTCTCCTTTCTTGAAAATAGTTTAAACCGATAGGTATGGTAGTTTGAGACAAAATAGAATAAAAATTAAGTAGAATCAGTGCTAAATAACTGCAAGAGGTTCACTTCTATACCGGTTAACAGATGGGTTTGTTTAGGTAATTTTGAAAACTATAATGCTTTTAAAGGATCATGATACATTTATGAAATATTAAAATGGCTATTGTTTTCTCTGTATATTATATTTCTTTTGAATGTTGACTGTATATAATGAGTACATTAATATATTTTGAAAATCTAGGATTCTTATGGGTGGTCATTCCAATAAACTGACCCCAGAAAGTTAATAATTTTGTCTACTGTTTTCCTGCTTTTAATTAAAGGGAAGCACTCTTTTTTATTTTTTTTTAAGGTTAACACCTAAAATTGGCTTTCCCTGGAGTGAAATCAGAAATATTTCATTTAATGACAAAAAATTTGTTATAAAGCCAATAGACAAAAAGGCACCTGTAAGTAAAAATTTTTAACCTTTTGTGTACTCTTTAAATTTCTGCTACTTTCCTACAATGATGCTTGAAGAATGGAGTTCACATTTATTAGATGGCCTTTGAGAAATATTCCATGATTTCCCCATGATAAAAAGTTAACACAATATTATTGAAAGATACAAGATCTTAAACTTTTTACAAGATATAAATGTGTGCCGGGCGTGGTGGCTCACACCTGTAATCCCAGCACTCGGTAAGCTGAGGCAGGGGGCTCGTAGCGAGTTTGAGAGCAGCCTAGGCTACAAAGTGAGCTTAAAGCCAGCCTGAACTGCATAGCGAGACCCTGTCTCAAAAAGGAAAAAAATAAAAAGATATGTGTTTAGCCAGGGATTTAGCGTAGCGGCATAAGCACCTGCCTTGCCAGCATGAGGTCGTGAGTTCGATCCTCGGTACAACCATAAAAGATAAAATGTGTTTTATGTTAGCCGAGATTTGTTTATCAAGTAATGTTTATTAGGTGAACAATCACCATTTCTTCTTCTTCTTCAAATTTTTTTTTTTTTTGGTACGGAGGTTGATCTTAAGATTTCACTCTTGCAGGGCAGGCACTTACGCTGCTGAGCTAAACCTCCAGCACCACAATCAGCATGTCTACCAAGCAGTTTTAAAATTTTTATTTATTGGTGATTTGAATGTAGTGGAAGTAGCCCTATTCTAAATTAACTATAGTTTTGCATTATGAATATTCATTCATTCATTCATTCATTCATTCATTCATCTGCCATGGTCTTGAGTGGCTCTTGAGGTTCCTAGGGTCAAAGACCCTGAGAGGATGAGAAAATAAAGAAGAGATAAAAGTTGGGATCGGCTGGAGCCCTCCCTCTCCAGGTGGGAAGAAAGAAACTGTCCCCGCACTGTAGGGACGCTTATTTATACTTTTAGTAACTTAATGTCACATGACACCCCATTGTAGAGATATCTACCTGTATGGCAATTTAAGGGCCTGGATTTTTGGGGCCTGGAGTCACTTTTCTGTGGCTCACCCCGGGTGGTCTTTGTTCTCTTACCAGGCAGGTTGGCTCCCGCAGATGTGGTCAGTTTCCAGCTTTAAGGGCTCCTAACATTCATTCATGGATTTTTTTGAGGTGAGGTCTACATAGTAGGGTATACAAAGTGGTCTTGAATTTGAACTGCTCGTTCTGCATTAGCTTCCTAGGTGCTAGGATTACAGGCATGTGCTACCGTACCTGGCATGAACTTTTATTTTTGTAATTTGAAGCCTTGGATTTTCTAATTTGAATATGTATTTAAAATTTATCTAGTGTCAAGTTTACTGCAGTATTTTTTCTCTGTGGACCGAAATTATAAAAATTTGGAAAACATTTCCAGGTTAAAAAGCTGCCAACAAGGAACTATTTTGACATTTTAGTGGCATTTTTAAGGCAAAGAAAAACCTCTAAGGTATGAAAAATAGGCATTTATAGCAATTTAGGGGAAGAAAAATAAGTACATAAATATACTGACAGGATAAGATGTTAAGCTCATTATAAAACTATTGAGGAATGAGAGTGAGAAATTGTATGAAAACATGGCATACTGAAGTTATGAAGTTTACTGATTTCCAATCTAGGTGAATATTACAGAATTTGTTCCTAATGTTGGTATTCAGTAGATGTTGTGAAAGACATTATCTGGGAAGATTTTAAATTCAGAATATTTTATGTGTAGGATTTTGTTTTTTATGCACCTCGTTTGAGAATCAATAAGCGGATTTTGGCCTTATGTATGGGAAACCATGAACTATACATGCGAAGAAGGAAGCCTGACACTATCGAAGTCCAACAGATGAAGGCTCAGGCTAGAGAGGAGAAACATCAGAAGCAGTTGGAAAGGTATGAATTTATAACCTTTAACTTTTCATTGATAGGAGTGTATGCTATTTAAAATGTAAGGCTGCTTAGTTTCATTAAGTGCTCTAATTTTAGATTTTTACATTCTTTCATGTATGTAAACTGAAAGTATTACTCCACTACCTTCCTTTAAAATGAATGTGCATAATTTTCAAGGTAGAAATCTTTGACAGGTATTTCTGAGAAAATAGCTTTTCATGACTTCACAGACGTGCTTTTCTTTTATCATACATGCTTTTTACTGACAGACATTGCAGTTAGAAAATTTCAAATTTGTTTTCCTCGTGACACTGAATTTTGCAGGGATAAATGTGCTGAAACGCTGAAGCAGTGTTAGTGACATTACGGAATTGTACTGAAAGTCATTGATAGCGTAGCAAAACAGTAATCCTTGCTAAAGCTACCGATTTTTTTTGAGCTGTTTTCCTTTCATTTAAATAAGATACAAATACAGATATATTAGAATTGAGAATTCAGAAAATGAAGTGACACTAAAGTCTTTATGGACCTTGGAACCATATTACAGGGTCCAATAACATAACTCCCAAATCTGATTCTTGACTAATTTTGACTTCATGCTTTATTTGGAAAAAAACTACTAACTATCCTTGAGAAAGGAACAAAATAAGAAATCGAATAGGCTGTTAAGAAACAAACCCAAGACCAGGCGCGGTGGAGCTCACCTGTCATGCCAGTACTGGGAACCCTCAGACAGGAGGCTTGCTGAGAGTTCATGGGCAGCCTGGACTACGCAGTGAGTTCAAGGGCAACCGAGCTACACAGTGAGACCCTGTCTCAAAGAAACAAAACAGACCAAAAAACCACCTAAAACTGAGGACAGTAGACATTCATATTTCAAACATATTGGAAATAATAAGATTTGTATCTGGTAATATGCCCTCTGCCTGTTAACCTCATATTTGTATTTAATGATTTTTTAAAATGTTAAAGTAATCCAGGCATATATAATTTTGCTTCTTTTGTAATATTAACTCAGACTGCCCCAGGGGACTCTGACTTTACATGTTGTTTTTGTTTTTTGTACCAGGCATTGAATTCCTGACCTTGCACTTGCCTGGCAGGCACTTATGCTCTGCGCTAAACCCTTGGCCCAGACTTTAGGTTTTTTATAAGGGCATGAAGCTTTTCAGTAATTCGTGATCCTGTAACTAGAGAAACCAAATTCGATTTTTACTTGGGGCTCTGTTCTTTTTTATTGTGCCCGTATGTTCTTCAGTTACACTGTGGCTCCAGGTTTATTGTTACACACTTCACGAGCAGGGCTCCCCAGTTACTTCCTGGGTGCTGGTCTAGGAAGATGCCTCCTGTTCACTGACACTCCCCTGCTATAGCACAGGCTCCTTAAAATACTTGCTTTCATGTTCTTGTATTAAAATTTTTTTTTAAATTCTTTATTGTGCTGTATTTTCTATATATTCTTACAGTTTTTTTGAGAAAAGATTTGGCTTTGTATTTTAGGCTGGCCTTAAACTCACTACGTAGCGCAGGCTGGCATCGAACTCAGCCTCCCCAGTGGTGGGATTATGGGTGTGCACCACCATGCCCAGCCTTGGTCTTTATTTTTTAAAATCATCATCTCCTTAAAGCTTACATTGTTTCTTTAACGTCTTTTGCAGTATCATAAGTTACATGAAAAGTTACTCTCTGTGTATTTTCTATATCATACCATTTGAGATTATGTCTTAACTGATTATTTTGTCCATAATGTTGATATACTACAGTGACTCTTGACTTATGAACGTGATTTCTTCACAAGGGCTGGTTGTAACTGAAGTTAGTTGTACATTAAGGCAGTTTTCCTATAAAAAATATCCATAATGTTCTGAAATTCCCAAAGTATACCATAAGAGACCTTTTCATGTATAATGTGTGTAACTTATCAGAAGTACCAATAATTTTCCTAGTGTATTCACCAAAAAGTTATAAAATATGCCTACTTTACCAGAAACAACAGTTTCTTCATTCCGATTGACATCTTTGGCTTGCAAGGAGGAGCAATGGAAGGTGGTGTTATTTGGAAGGAGAGTGCCCTTCCCTAAGAACTTCGTCCTACGCTCTGCTGTCCTTTCTCTCGGAAGAATCTAACGCATTAGGACCTGTAGCTTGCTTAAAAACTGGTCTAAGGTTGTCTGTTTCTGTCTTCTTTAACACTGGTCTTTTCTATTATGACACTCCCTTCCTTAGCTTCTTTTGTGGCTTTTTGGGGGCCGTTTTAACAGCAGCAATTGTGGAGATCATATAGAGCAGTGACCAAAATAACATTTATAAATATAGGCATTTGATATATATGATTATATATGCTTCCATTCACTTTTCCGTCATTGCAACTCTGTGTTTACAACCACACAAACGTGGATTGTAACTCAAGACTTGGTCTTAAGTTAAACCTAAAATTCTGGTCATAAACCCAAGTTATTCATATGCAAGGCTGGTCATAACTTAAGGGACCATTGTATTTTCCTGGTTCATATATCTTTCATTTCTCAGCACATAATGCTCTGTGGCTTTTAGTATATGCTACCATATGGTGATCATGCTATATTTTAGTTACTCTAAGGCCTACACTCAGACTTAAGTTTCTTTTGTGGTATAAATAATCCACAGGTCCTCTCTTGAGTACATTTTACAACTTTTCATCATTAAGCATTGATTGACTGCTTTATACAGAGTTAGGAGTGCACTAATTTTATCACCCTAGCTGTCCAGCAATTGGCATGCAAGGTCTGCATTTATTCCTTGCTTTACAAGTCAGAGAGAAATGGCAGCAGTGTATGTAGAAATATTTTGGTCACACTCGCTAGTGAAGTAGCCAGCCGAGATACTTGGGGGAATGAATGCTCAGAGGTGTGCTGCTTGTGCTGCTTGACTCTCAGGCAAGAATGGTAGTGGAGAGGGGAAGACAGAAAGGAAACCTCTTTCTGTACAGTGTGTTGGTATATGTGGCCTGATTTTCTCCTCATCTTTCTTGTAACTTTGGTTTTTTTGGCAGTGAAAATGACCTCATCTGTGTGGTTGATCACTGTAGTCTTTGCTCTTATTTTCATCCACATCAAATAATATGTTTTTATGGGGCTGGGGATTTAGCTCAGCGGCATAAGCACCTGCCTTGTAAGCAGGCAGTCGTGAGTTCAATCCCTGGTACCGATAAAAACAAAAAAGACAAAAAAAAAAAAGTTTTTATATGGCCAAAATTGTTACCAAAATTTAAAAATTAGAGCCTCAAGTTTATAATTTAGAATCAGATAGCCATGTAACAATTGTAGATCAGCTATGAGAGTTGTGTGTAATGGCTATAGTTATACAAAGAACATAAGCCTTATAATTAGTCTTCTTTTAACAGGAAAATATTCTTTTTTTTTTCTGTCTTTTTTCATTTTTATTGGTACCAGGGATCAAACTCACGACTGCCTGCTTGCAGGGCAGGCGCTTATGCCACTGAGCTAAATCCCCAGCCCCAGGAAAATATTCTTACCTTTAAGGGTTTTTAATAAGAAATAGTAATGCAGCTGTATAAGAATTTAGCAAAGAATTTGGTGTTTATTAAATAGTAGCTGTTACCATAATTAATACATAGTCTGAGCTAAATATTCTTAATTTTTACTTAAGAAAAATGTAATTGGAAAAAAAATGTAATTGGGTCCATTTGATATTCTTTAAAATTACAGTGCTTGGCCCTTGTTTTGGCCAAGAAAACTGGGAAATGAAGACATTCCTGTAAGCTTCTATCGTTTGTCTTCTCTTTGCCTTTGTATGCTTTATAGATTGAAATAAGTATAAAGAGGTGAACCCAAAACTCGGGTACAGTATTTGGCTTTTTCTCGTAGGTGCTGAGAAAATACGCATGGAGAACTCTAGAACCGAAGTGGGGTTCCCTGGGGTGAGGAGCCCCAGCCAGGTCCTTAGTTCAGTTCATTAAACCAGCAGAAAGCACAGTGACCTTGGCTTGGTGAGGTCACCAGACTGTGTAAAATCTGCAAGAACTTTAAAATGTAGTTTTAAAGAGTAAAGAAGAAATACTTTGATAGTAAAACTTCATTATTATGAGAGACTGCAAATGAGGTTTTATGCATCAAATTCTGAACTGAAACTAGATGATGTCATTTTGTGAAATGTTAAAGACAAAAATTGATATTTTTAAATAAAAAATGAATTGTTACAGTAGTAGTGATCTGAATATTGTTTAAACTTACTAAAATTTCTCTTTTGACCCAGGTTGGCTTTTGGTAGACGTTTGATAGTTTTAGCTATATTTATAATAAATGATTGAGGCATTTTCCCCCCACAGGCTCTGATGATAATCTTTTTTAGTAGCATTAGACACCTACTAACATTCTAATAGAATTGTCAAGCGTGATAAAACTGATTTGTCATCTTGTGTAGGCATAAATGGGTATTGCCCCAGAAATTAAACCTGAATTCATTATTGATTGAAAATTGTTGCGCTCTCGGGCTGTTTTTCTATTTATGGTGCTTACTTTTCTGTATTCAAGCTTTCGTTATTTCCCAGGGAGGACTTCCGGTGTTCTGCAGAAGGCCTTTTCTTGTATCACACCTGTGCTGTTAACTCCTACGATGCTGACATACACAATTTGTTGTCAGTTCTTCCTGTGTATGCAAATGAGAAATCTAAATGTTTTTTTACCTGTTGAAGTCTGCCTTAAAAACAAGTTCCTGATTTCTTTTTCCCCCCAGTCCTGGGAATTGAGCCCTGACAATGCTGAGTTTTGTCCAGGTGTTTTTAAACATTTTGACACAGCATCTCACTAAATTTGCTCAGACTAATCTCAAACTTTTGATTCTTCTGACTCAGCCATCTGAGTAGCTGGAATTTAAGTGTGTGCTCAGCTAAGTTTTTAATATCTTTAAAATAGTTACCAACTGTCTTGATTTTGACCACATAATAAGAAATGTTTGGATCCCATCATGTGTATACACAGGTGTGTATACATATGAGTGTATGTAACAGTGTGGTCCTGTATTTTGAACGTAACTGAGTATAATGAAAACTCAGACAATATTTGTGCTGTAGTTTGTTTTTAGTTGATGTCTAAGTACTTATATTTTACACAAATAACATCCTGTTACTAACACAGAATTGCATTCATTCTAAGGGCACAATTAGAAAATGAAAAGAAGAAAAGAGAAATAGCAGAAAAGGAAAAGGAAAGAATAGAACGTGAAAAGGAAGAGCTAATGGAACGGCTAAGGCAGATTGAAGAACAGACAATGAAAGCCCAAAAAGGTAAGAGGTTTTTTTTTTTTAACAATTCAGAATCATTGCTCTGTTGTCTGATGGTATTTACTTGTTATTACTGTTACTGTGTTACATTGGACAGTTGCACTTAATTGCCAGGTTTAGTTAGAATCCTATCATAAGCTTTTTGACAAAGGTGTTTTCAGTTCTACAGAGCTAGATACTTCCTTTTATCACACAAATATTTTTTATGTGTATTCACTATATATTATTGAAAACGACTGAATATATTAATTTAATTTATACCTATTCCTGTTCGGGGTTCTCTAAATAAAACCACATTCAGTACTCCTTGGCTTTTAAACAAAAGCATCTATCCAGTACTTCACAGAAGCATGTTCAGCTCTTCTGACCCTAAATAAGACACCAGTGCCTGGAAAGCACACTGTAGCCTGGGGATAGCTCAGTGGCAGAGGACTCGGTTAGCATGTCAGAGGTCCTTGCTTTGATCCCCAGCACTGCTATGCAAAAAATAATCCACGTTAATACTTTTTGATTGGTGTTGGTAATGTGTTTGGAGGATCTGATTTCCTAGGCAGCATGTAACCGAAATGCTTCAGTGTATGAAAAAGATACAAAGTTTTTTGATGTGTGGCCTATACTAAAGGGCTGTGGGAGATGTTACCTTCACACAAGGTGCTAAAGAGAACAAAAGAAAAAATATATTGAACAAAATAAAATGCTTTGTTTCTTCTTAAGCAGTAGGATCTCTTGGAGGTGACACTTTTGGTAAACATTTGCTTTCCTAACAGCTGGTATAGCTGGCCTTTCACCTCTACTGGAAATAACCATTTGTTTTATTTTAAAATTACTTGCACTAGCCCTTTAGAGTGAGGAAATGCTCTTTAGCAGTATGTAGAATAATTTACAATTATATATGCCCAGAGAGGGAAAAACCAGGTTTCACTTTGATTTAATAGAAGTTTCATTTCTCAAGGCTTTAACACTTAGAAGCTGAAGTAGTTCAAGTTCCAAGGGTTGTAAAGCATTTTGCAGACCAGAACTCGGGGCCAGAACTTGTTTCTTGAATTCCAGTTTGGTGCTCTTTCTGCTGCCACTCCAGTCACCCTTTTTGTCAATCAAACATTTATAATTTACCTATGTAATGCTGCATTCTAGGACTGCTAACACAGCGTACAGGAGTGTGAAACGTTTCATGCTGGAATAAACTAGTTTGGGGAGAGGGTGGGCTTGTAGCTCGGCGGTAAGAGTGCCTGCCTAGCGTATGTCAGACCTTGAGTTCCATCCCCATACACGTACAGTCTGTGTTGGACTCAAATTTATGTCAAGAAAGGAATGTTTATATACTAGTTGAATTAAAAAAAAGGATTGAATCAGCACTTTTTCATTTATGTAACACCTTTCTTAGAGAGTAGTTACGTAGTAAAGTTTTCAGTCTCATTTAGGACAATAGTAGTAATCATTTTCATACTTTTAAAACAACTCAAAGCACTAAAGAATGTAAGGGAGACAGAGCGTACAAAAGAATTTAAAGCATTTCCTATCAAGACAATTTCAAAGCAGTCATCTTTAAGGCAAAAGACATCCATTTTGTTAGTTTTTTCCAGTAAAGTTTTTCCAGGCTGTTCTAAAATCTGAATGTCTTGTAATTTATGGTAACCTTTCGTTCAAATGCCACAACTTTGGCCATATTTAAATCTCACTGCTTAATAGATTAAGCTGTAATTTTTTGAGATACTTTACTTCATTATTTTGTTTCTTAATTTTTTATTGAAGTTTTTCTTCCAATTGAATCATTAATTAGAACCATTGTTCCATAATGTATTATTACTTATTTTCATTTATCCTTTTTAACTGTCTTGAAGATACACTGGTGATGATTTAACCAGACTTGTGTTTGGTTACTGTTTCAACAGATTTCAAAGTCCATTCCCATCTTCAATAAGATGAACTAGAGAAAATGATTGAGGTGCAGTTTCATTCATTTATTCTGGGTATTTATTAAGCATCCTGTGTGTACTAAGCACTGTTCTAGGTTTTGGGAAGATAGTACTGGACATAGAAGGTCCCTGCTTTTATGGAACTTAACATTTTATTGAGGAAGGACAGAGTAATAAATTAAACATAGTAAAATTTTAGGTAATTTTAACTGCTATAAAATAAGTAGCATGATATTATAAAAATGATAATACTTGTGGGCAGGAAGGATATTCATTTAGATATACATGCACCCAATTAGGAACATTTTTTTTTTTTACTTCTGTCATTAATTTATGACAGAAGTAAAATGCAAGTGACTATATGCAAGTCATTTTTCCTTCTCAGTTTCCTTAAATTCCAAATATTTTAAAAACCACACTTTTTCATTGAGTTACGGATAGGCATGCCTCTTAGGGGTAAGGGCCAATGACTTTACAAAGTGAGTTTATTCTTGTTACCATCCAGAATAAGGTAACAATGATATTTCACTTTATGAACTCAGTTCTCCATGAGTCTGGCTACAGACTGAACTGGATGAAAACCAGATCAAATTTCCCCAAAAGATCAACATTGAACTAACCATTGAGTTTGATTTGGTTTTCATATGATTCAGTTTGCAACCGGAATAGTAGAAAGAATCGGGTTTGTGAACCGAGGTATTACTGTACAGGATATTCCCTGCACTCCTTTTATCATTCCCACCGTGATTTATATTATTATGACTTACATGATCATAAACTTTAGTACTTTAGTCCTTTACCTAATAGCTTATGATATAATTTACATGCCATATAATTCCCATTTAAAGTATATAATTTAATGATTTTGAATATGTTATCACCAATTTTAGAATGTTTTCTTCACTCTGAGAATAAATCCCATACCTATTATTAATGATCACATTAGTTTTTTCCCAGTACTGTTCTCCCAGGTGTGAGCAGTTGCTGACACTCTCCAGATTTGCCTAGACACTGCATAGAAATGGAATCATGAAAAATGTGGTTCTTTTATAACTAGCTCCTTTTGTTTAGTATATTTTAGGTATTCGTCTGAGTTGTAGCATTATCAGTGTTTCATTCTTTTTAAAATGATGAGTAATACTTCATTTTATATATATGCTACATTTTTTCTTTTGTCAACTGAGGGACTTTTAAGGTTGGCTCCCCTATTCTGAATAATGTTACGAATACTCTAAAAGTTTTTGTTTGTGTGTTTTAATTTCTTTTTGGTATATACCTCAGGAGTAGAATTGCTGGGCTGTGTTAACTCAGTTATTGAGGAAATGCCACAGTGGTTTCTAAAGTGACTGTACTGAATTAGATTCCCACCAGCAGTGTGTGATTACTTTACATTGCTTATCCACACTTCAGTTTTGGTTTGGTTTTTTTGGTACCGGGGTTACCAACACTTACTAGTGTCTGTCTTTTGGATAGTAGCCATCCTACTGGGTTTTAAGTGGTATCTTATTGTTTTTTTGGTTTGCATTTCCTTAGTGTCTAAGGTAATGTTGAGCATTTTCTTGTGTGCCTGTTGGCCATAAATATATATTTTTTTGAAAAGTGTTCAGATTGTCTGCCCTTTTTCAATGGGATTATCTTTTTGCCCTTTTTACTAGCGTTGTTCTTTTATACTCTGTACACAAGTTCCTGATCTGATACATGATGTGCAAGTATTTTTGGTTCTATGGTTCTGCCTTTTTAGTTTTCAGATGATGTTTTGACTAGGACTTGTCTTGGAGGGCCCCTGACAGCCACCCTTGAGTTTCACAGCTGTAAGAGGGCGTCAGTCACTCCGTTTGGGTCTTTAGCTGCTTTCTGTTGGGTTTTTCCTTATTGTGTCACCCATATGTATGCATTTTGGGAGTTGGCAAACATGTTGAGGGAAAATAGCATGTAAATTTTTAGACAAGCACTTCTGTATTTATTCGTTTTCAGAGTCATGCCCAAATGCTTGAATCTTTGTTTCCTGACTGGCAGAATGCTGCTGGTTTCGGTGCTGTTCCCATGTTGTCGTGTTCTGGTTATCCAGTCTTCTGGGAATAGCAAATGCCTGTTTTGCATAGAAAATAAACACATGGTACATACATATTAACATAGATGCTTGTTTCCTCTTCTTTTTTACCCAACAATACTACATCTATGTAAGTGTGAGCATGCCTGTGTGCACGGTGCTCGTATGTCTGTTTTTCTGAGAGGGTCTTGCTGTATGTTGCCCAGTCTAGTCGTGAGCGCTTAGGTCAATCTGTCTTCGTGCCTCAGTCTCTAGAGTAGTTGGGACTGAAGTGAACGTCTTCACCCCTGACTAAATATCCTCATGCATCTTGCTCTTTTCAGTTACTTCATCTTGAAAACCACTCCATATACAGCACATTCTCAGAAATCTTCCCTTTTTTTGTGTAGAAGCTTAAGACTCCATTGCTTAGATTGGTGCAAGTATTTTAACATTAATTTACTAGTAGTTTGTTTGCAGTCTTTATTCCATGATTTCTAAGAATTTTGATTTTGGAGCTATTACAGTACTATCTTGGTTCACAAAAGCTTTTGTTTGCAAACAACTTAGTTCACAAACAAAAGTGACAAAATTCTGTTTTTACTTCCAGGTTCCTCACTGGGTGACAAACATGGCCATGGCCATCTCCCCCCACAAACACAAATGCAGTCAGCCTCCTCCAAATTCTAAAAGAAATTAGGCTTATAAACCAAGGCACAGTGTATTTGCCTTTCTTTTAAAATAGTGTTCTTTCTCTTTAGTCTAAAAAAACTGTGGTACTTAATAAATTGTCTTAGAAAAGGAGAAATCTTTAATCTTTTTGGGACATATAGTCTGTTAAGGTATTCTTGTTAGTAATGCTGTTAAAATTTCACGGCTATGAAGCTTCTGAATTTTGTCCTCACAGCATCATGGGTTAAAAAGTTTTTTGGTTGCAAAAATCCTATAATGCTTGAATTCAAGTCTGAATGAGAAAAACTTTGTCTAATTTTCTTAACTTGAGTTGACATTAACCTTCCAGGTTTACCACCAATTAAACACTGTAACCATCTGTGTCACTATGGAATTATTGATGAGAGGCAGTTGGTTCTTGGAACCTTTAACCTGTCCTGAAAGAGCTGCACTTCTAAATAAGCCAGAAATCTTTGATACTTACTTGTTCCATTGTAGACTCAAAATTCAAGATTTACATTTTTATGAGCCAGAGAGGCCAAAGGGTGGGGCGACAGGGGGAGACCTTGTGTAGAGTCCTCTGAAGTTTCAACTGGTGGATGGTCTAATTCAGTAAGTGTTTTAGGTTCTAATGTGATCTCCGACCCAAATACTAAACATTATGAATGCAGCTGTGTTCCAGTAAAACATTACTGGCTTTGGTTCATAGGCTGTAGTTTGCTATAACCTCTGTTCTAATTCAGTTAACTAGAAAGGAAAAAAATGGAAAGTCATTTATGGGACATCCTCAGAATAATACTTTGAAAATATCACATCTGTTCTCTTTTTAGAAGGTTCATTTGAAACACAGGAATATTTCAGAATTTAACATTGTAACTCATTTCTGTTTTCTTGCTTGTAGTACAGAAGGTATTTTTATTTTGAGATAAAATGAAGGATGGTAGTGTCTGGAAATTTGCCATCTTGCCCACTTTAATTATACAGTTCAGTGTACTAAACACATTTATAATGTTGAACAGTCATCACTGTCATCTATCTTTTAAGTCTTTTCAACTTGTAAAACTGAAGCTTTACCTGAAACTACCTGTTAAACAGTTCTCCCTGTATCCCTCCTTCCCCAACCCCTGGCAGCTGCTGTTCTTCTGTCTTTATGATTTTGGCCATTCTAACTAAGTAATATATGTGGAATCATAAATTATTTTTTGTAACAGGCTTGTTTCACTTAGCTTTGTGTTTTTAAGATTGTCTATGTTAGAACGTGTCAGGATTTCCCTCCTTTAAGGCTGAATAATTACTTCATTGAATGTATATACGTTTTAATTATCTGTGCATCAGATGGCACACTTGGGTTGCTTCTACATTTTTGGTATTGTGAATAAAGTTATGAATGTGGGTGTACAAACACTTGAGACATTGCTTTCAAGTCTTCCGTTGCTTGTTTGGCTGATCTTAGTCACAGCATAGATATACTAAAAATATTACATTAAATTATTATTGGGTCTTTGAGTATAAGGTGTAAACAAATGATTTTTATGCTTAGACCAGATACCCTGCCTGTTACTTTATTATGTATATGTTCTGAAATCTGAAATATTTACATCCTCCACACATTTCAGATAAAAAGGAGACCCAACATGTACTTAGCTTACATGAGTAAAATTTTTCATAAATTTTTAACTTTTATTAATATTTGTAATACATAATCATTACATTCACCTTAGGGAATTGGTACATGTACATATTTTAATTATGTAAGTTTCAATATGTGCTGTTTCATAAGATTTCTGAACATAATAGCTTGTTTACTGAGGTTAGAATGATACTAGAGACTGAACCTAAGACCTTTTTGCATGCTAGGCAAGGCTTCCACTATTGATGGGTACCCTCCTCTTTTTTTTTTTTTTTTTAAAGGAAGGATTGGGTTTTCTTTGAAGGGAGGATTTGGGAGGGTCTCACCCTGTACATCAGGGCCTGAACTCTTATGTAATATCCAGGCTGACTTCGAACATGCGGCAGCACTCCTGCCTCAGCCTCCCCAGTGCTGGGATTACAGACATGCACAACCACAACCAGCAAACATGTTTTTCTTGTGGTCAAAACTTTAAATACGTTTTAGGTGTTTGCTTTTAGGCCTTATGAAATATCTTGAATTACAGAACATTTTCAGTTGTTGCATTTTTAAGTCACAGAATGTATTTCTACAGTTTTTTTCACCAAGTTAAAGTTGAGGCTTATGCTAATTTTGAGAAACTGAACAAATGAGTCTTTGCTAACATTTATGCTTCTTTTGGTAAGAATAATTGTAATTAATTGTTTTTGGGGTATGGGGTAATACATATATTTGACAGAACTAGAAGAACAGACTCGAAAAGCTCTAGAATTGGATCAGGAACGAAAACGAGCAAAAGAAGAAGCAGAGCGGCTGGAAAAAGAGCGCCGAGCCGCTGAAGAGGCCAAGTCCGCCATCGCGAAGCAGGCTGCCGACCAGCTGAAGAACCAGGAGCAGCTGGTAAGGGAGACACGCGCGGTCTAGACTTCAGATGAGCAGGTGTGTGAGCCTTCTAAACCAGGTACAGTGGATTCCGGAATGCAGGCCCGAGCCACTTAATGACCGAATAGGAAAATAAGCCCAAAATGTTCACTTCCTTTTAAAAACCCTAAAAGTAAAACAGGATAAAATGTACTTTTCTGTGAACTATCCAGTTGTCAAGAAAAGATTCTCATTCACTTAGGCTTTGGATTAGTTCTGCAATGAGCCCTCCAGCATCTTTTGTTTTTTGGGGAGGTTTTTGGTATGGGGATTGAACTTACGACTCTGTGCTTGCAGGCAGACACTTAATGCTGCTGAGCTAAATCCCCAGCCCTAGCATGTTTTGTTTTATATAATTTGACACAATAATTTTTGGTCCCTGAATGATAACTGTGTGTCATAGTTGGTTGGATTAATTTTGCTTGTTATATTTCTTCACGTTTTATTCAACCTCTCAGGTTCCTCCCTTTGAAAACAGAGGTAATACTGTTTACTAGGTTGCTGAGAAACACCTGAGATTTGACCAAGTTCTGTTAAGCATCACATAATTTTATTTGTATACTTAGCAAATAGTTTCTTGATAATAGGAGCTCCTAAGTAACACCTTTTAAATTTCTACTACTCAAACAATATTAACTAGTTGTCTGTAGAATCTTTGACTTGGTCTCATTAGTTCATTACCTAAGCTCATTACTTCGTTACAGCACGATAAAAATAAACTCCCTGAGACCGTTAAGGAATCTTGCTTTTATAAAAATAGACGACTAAGAAAAAAAAGTAGCCGGGTGTATACATGAAAGCTGTTTAACTTAACATGCCCTGTTTCAGGCAGCGGAACTTGCCGAGTTCACTGCCAAGATTGCACTTCTAGAAGAAGCCAAGAAGAAGAAGGAAGAGGAAGCTACTGAGTGGCAACACAAAGTAATCATTTATTTGTTCATTTACTAACTTTTTGAATACTTGTTCTTGCCTATATGTTGACTTTAGAGATGAATATCAGATTAATGTGTATTCATTATTTTGGGAATGCAGATGTGATTAATTTCTGTGGAATAAGACAGGTATTGGGAACCCGTATACATTTAAGCTGAGTCTTAACTAGTAAATTAGATTTTGTACCTTTTTGAGGATGGTGAGGAGTAAAGGAGGTGGTCATTCCAATAGAAGGGAATAGAACAACTAGAAGCATGAGCTTACATGATAAATTTGAAGACAGTCCGTAAATGGCCGACTGTGTTGACTGATAAATAGAATTAATTACCAGTTGGCTGGTAAACAGAATTAGGGAATTGAGTTATAAGGGCTTTAAAAGCCTGCTAAGGCGTCTGTTGATGTTAGGCTCTGCAGATTATAAAACAGGATTGTAGCATGCGGAGTTATGATTTTATAACATAACTTAGCAGTGGGTGTGAGGATGGTTGGAATATTGGACACTTGAGAAATGGAGACCCAAAATGATGTATCAGTGAATATAAAGACAGAATGAATTAAACATTTTTGGTAAGACTGAAAAGGGCCTGGCAACCAATTATTGGACATGAAGTTGAATTACAAGTTTGCAGTTACGATTTTTAATGAGAGCTCAAAGATACGTGAAACTGCTGCTGTCAAAAATAACCCATGTGTGGGCTTTGAACACTGAGGTTGGAGAAATGGGTATATGAGATCATGAGAATTTAATTCAAACTTTAAGTGACTTTTGAGATAGAATCTTGCTTATAATTCGGTCCGCTCTTAAACTGAGTCTCAGCCTCCCAGGTGCTGGGATTACAGGCTTTCACCACCATGCCTGGATTAAATGACAGTAATTCTTAAATGCAAATATAATTACATTTGCAATATAGTAGTTGTATTGCTTTTAAAGTTATATAGTTAATATGGTTTTTCTATACTAAAATGTATTTATCATGGAAAATGGTTTTCTTTGGCTTGTAGTTGGATTTTCTTTTACAAGTTTTAAGTTTCATTGGGAAGTTTAATTTTGTTTTTTTTCTTAGCTTTACCTTTGGCAGCATACATACATACATACACACACGTATCAGTCAGTCAGTTACCTCAGAAGGAATGCCAGGCGGGGAAGGTGCGTTTACCTGTAACCCTAGCACTCTGTTGCTTGAGGCAAGACGAGTATACATTTAGCCCAGCCTGGGAAATTTAGTGAGATACTGTCTCAAAATAAAAGAGCTAAGGGTAGAAAAACAAGGAATAAAATTATGTTAGTGTCTTGAGTACACTATTTCCATTAATAGATTTTACACATTTCATTTATGGATGATTTATGGATTCAAGACATGCTTTTAAAAATAACTACAGATTTAATTCCTGTAAACTGTGGAAAGTTAGAAATTGTACACAAAGGAAAATCAAACTCAAAAGCTAGAATACGATTATAAAATACTAGTATATCTTATTGAGATCAGACTGTATATACAATTCTACTTTAGTGAATTTTGATCTGATATTACACTGTATTCAGAATTTCTGGTGGGACTTACTATACTTTAGCATCCCAAGGGAGCACTTTTGAGAGTAAAGAAAATGGTTTTGTTGTTTTTGTTTGTTTGTTTTGAGACAGAGTCTCTGTGCAGTTGTGGAGCTCACTTTGTAGCCCAGGCTGGTCTCAAACTCAACGATCCTCCTGCCTCAGCCTCCCGAGTGCTGGGATTACAGGCATGAGCCACCATGCCCGATGGAAATGTTATTAATAATCACACAGGATAGTTAGGTGTGGTAGTGGATGCGTGTAATTCCAGCAATTGGGAGGCTGAGCCAGGAGGATCGCTGCAAGTTTGAGGCCAGCCTGGGCTACATAGAAAGTTTAAAACAAGCCTTAACTACAGAGCAAACGCGGTCTCAGAAAACAAAAACAAGCTCAAAAAATTTATACAGGAAAACATAATCACCCAAATCGTTGGTAAAGTTAGATGTTTCATACATAGTATGTCATGGCAGGAGATACTTAGTATCTAGTTAAGGCCCCATTAGTGCTTTTAACTAATTCCTCTATTATCTGATTATATTTAAACTGTGTGCCCCAAATACAATGTTATATGTGGCAGTCATTATATTAAATAATTTCCGATCAAGCATCTGTATAACAATTTCAGCAACAGTGGGTAATCCTTGCCAGAGTAATTCTTTAGGACTTAAAAAGTGATATTTAAAAAATTTTATTTCTTGTACTGATCAGTTTTTATCAGAAAAAATACAACTTTCTTTAGTAGAGCCTATGTTCAATACCCTGCAGTGTAGTTACTGTCTGGTATAAGTAGGATAATTTGATTTTAATTACCGGTTTTTCATAGTAAGTTGCTCATAAACTTATTTTTACTGTTTAGGCTTTTGCAGCCCAGGAAGACTTGGAAAAGACAAAAGAAGAGTTAAAAACTGTAATGTCTGCCCCCCCTCCGCCCCCGCCCCCGCCAGTTGTTCCTCCCACGGAGAATGAGCACGACGAGCACGATGAGAACAGCGCCGAGGCCAGTGCCGAGCTGTCCAGCGAGGGGGTGACGAACCACCGGAGTGAGGAGGGGCGCGTGACGGAGACCCAGAAAAACGAACGTGTGAAGAAGCAGCTTCAGGTGCCTAGCGTTTGCTGTCGTGTGTGCACATTTAAAATGCACGTTAGGTGCCTCCCACCTAAGAGGAGTGTGCTTATGAAGGATGGAGGTTTTTAGGATCTTTGACACTGTCCGGCTTATGATTGGTTTCTGAGTACTTCACTGGAGTCATGTTATTTCCTTTCTGTTGTATGATCATATCAGCGGGTGTTTGTTAACTAGTGAGTCATGTATAATTATACTTACCCATTTTAAAAGACAGAAACTATTCCAGTGGTGATAGAAAACAATGAATTCAGCTTTTAAACAGTAAAACATGCATTGAAAGGCAGTGATACTTGTTTGTTTTTTTGGTACTGGAGATCAAACTCATGACCTCACACTTGCCAGGCAGGCACTTATGCTGCTACACTAAATCCCCAGCCTTGCAGTGACATTTAGTAGACTCCCTTTAAGATATTACATAATGTGAATTAGCCAGATTTTATAAAGGCAAAAATTTATTTATTAAAAGTGCATAATTAATTCAAAACATAAAATTGTAACCTAACTTTTCCAGATGAATTGTTTTTTAATTGGTACAATTTTTAAACATTAATAAGGAAAATGAAGTGATAGGTATAATACATAAAGGCTTTTGGAGAAAACTTCACTCGTGGTATAGTTCTGGATTTTAAAGTAACATTGCTCTGTAATAAGTATTGGGTGAGAAAATTAAGGAAATTTGAAATGTGCGAACTCCCATGGTTGGGTGTGGGGATGAAAGGCATGGGTATTCTTCCCTAAACCTAAGGTTATGCACTTGAAAGAAAACCGTTCTGTGGTGAAAAGTTTAATATACTGAAAGTTAGAGATTTGGTGTATTTATATTTGCATCTTTAAGCCATTCTCATAAAAACTTTAAAGGGAAAAAATGACAGTGCCATTTTTTATCCTCTAACACAGGCATTAAGTTCCGAGTTAGCCCAAGCCAGAGATGAAACCAAGAAAACACAAAATGACGTTCTTCATGCCGAGAATGTGAAAGCAGGCCGTGACAAGTACAAGACGCTCCGGCAGATCCGGCAGGGCAACACGAAGCAGCGCATCGATGAGTTTGAGGCCATGTGAGAGCTGTTCTTTTGCGTACATGTCCTTCCTAAGCTGAACCACCCGCAGAGAAAAGCAGGCCTGTGCAGATGTGATGGGCTGCGCCTACCTTGCCAAAGCACTTGTACCAGTGTGACTGTGGGCTCCAGACAGATTGGAGGAGAGCGCTTCAACTTTAAGGCAGTGTCCCGTTGTGTTTGGTTTTCTTTGGGGCCAGGAAATTGAGCACAGTGTTCCATTACCTCCATTTGCATTTCCATTTGTTGATTTTTCATTATTGTTAACGAGTAACACTAATAATCATGTCTGATAAATGTGTGTTCTGACACTTTGTGCATTTTAAAAGGGTAATGATGACTATTTCAGAGTGCTTAGATCACTCAGTTCTCCCTTGCCTTTTCCATATTGAACCGGCATAGATTTCCACATTCTCATGTTTGCTCAGTGTACCCTTTTACCCTGCCATGACCATAAGCCTGCTGCCATGCAGATCATTGGCAGTATTTAAAGTGATTGTAAGTGGCTGGGTGGACAGTCTTGGATTATTATGTAGTAGATGACCGTAAATCATGGCAGAGAACTATAAATCAAAGAGAATAGTGTGTGTGTGGGTTTTTTTTAAAATCCCAATATAATTATATTATTGGACCTTTGTTACTTCCTTGCTGTCATCTTTGACAGATAAATTGATTACTGTTTCATATTCTGTGATGTGTGTGTGTATGTGAGAGACATTTTTCTTTGCCTTCCACTTCACCCTGGTGTAGACAGCAAGTAGTAGTTCTAGGAGAGTTTATTGATGAAACTACCTGTCAACAAGTTATCTGTGAAAGATCCAAAAAGTTTTGTTCTTTCATAAGGTGATTTAGAAAAACAGATGTCTAATTAAAAAAAAGTAATTAATTCATAATTGATTTTAATCATTAAAAAAAAACAAATCTGGAAGGCAGCCTGTGAAAGCATCAGAGTTCCTAGAAGGGCCAGTAGAACTACCTCACCACTACACCTGCAGTGATTGGTTATTCAAACATGATAGAATGTGTAAGCTGTAGGTTTTATTCCACAGAGACAGTCTCAATCATGAAAGAATACTTCGAGATTTTATTTTCCTTCAGTATATCTTAGTGCTAATTTTTTAAACTGCCTTCGTTGAGCTGAATGGTAGGGCTCTGATTTGTATCAAAAATTATAAGCTTACACTGGTATGTTTTACTGGAGGGGTGTCATGTCTGAAGAAAAGTGTGTGTGTGTCTATGTAAGATGTAACCTTTGTGGTATATGCAGAATGTCTGTACCTTCATTTTGATGATAGTTCATGATCCTTGTTTTTATACTGTATTTGTTTTTCCCATCTCTAAAAAAATTTAATCCATTTTAGAAATTACAAATTTAGACTATATTAATTTCCATCATGTCTTACCTAAGAAGTCTTTCCCCAGATGTTCTAATATTGTCTTTATTGTGAAACACCTGAATTTGAAGATATGGAAAGCCTTGTTTTCTCTGTGTGGTTCAGCTACTTTTCATTTGGTGTTATGCACTCAAATTTATATTCTGTTAAATTGCCATTTATTAAACATTTTTCATGCACAGTAGTTTTAAGTTGTGCCTGAAAATATTTCATGCTTTTTTGATTTTGCTGACTTTAAAAGGATTAATCTGGGCAGACATTATGAAAAGGAAAGATTTTGCTTAATATATTTTTTGGACTTTGTAGGACAAAAGATAACTGGTTACTCTTGAAGTGACTGTTGTACAATGGTTATGCACATGCTTCAAAATCCTCCAGAAGAGATGTTTCTGCTTGCAGTACATCAGAGGGGTAAAGAGATCTTGCTCTTCATGCTTTGAAATACAAATGTTCACTTTTCCAAAGCATTAAAGCAATTGCCATAATAGGTGAAAAACATGAACTTCTACTGGATTTTCATTAATTTTTCTCATTTTGACTTGTGTGCACTACCATTGATACATCAGCTTGTTACAGTGTTGAAAAATTACCAGTTATATTTGCTGTTTATAATCTATTTGTAGATTAGGAATAAAGTGGATTTAATCCATTTTTAAAGCTGTGTGAATTTTCTAAACAGAAACAGCCATTTGCATATGAATTTTCATAATTTTATCATTAGCAGTTGAGAGCACATGTCCATATAGCAATGTAAAAATATACTAATGAGTATTTGGTAAATTCCGATAGGTGTTTACCATTAGCATAATTTTGTGTTGTACAATTAAAATTACAGTTACATCTCTAATTTTGGATAATATTCAGTGGTTAACAATAAAGTGACAAAAGCTCATGCCTTCAAGGTCCACTGTTGTTATTTAACATAGATTTCTTGTATATTTCCTGAAAAGTATAGTCCATCAGAGCTATGAATCATCACATCTTAAAAATGAGAGTGGATAGGGAAGAGCTTTAAAATTCTCATAGATTTACTCTTTACCTCAAATTACATCTCATTTACAATGGAAATAATAGTTACTGCTTCTGTGGAAAATTAAATCGTTAAATTTATTGTCTTGGCAACAGAGGATAATTTAGGATTTCCAGTCATTTTTATTGTATAGCTGCTAAATTTGTTTTTCTTAAGTAAGATGTAGATTCATTATCATTGATTCATTGTCATAGTAAACCTCTGATACTCTTTAAAGAATTGCTAACTGCAATTGTTTAAATACATTTATCTTGTCTAGAAGCAAATTGCTTTTTTAAAAGCATGTTACTAATTGTAACGAAGTCTAAAAGTGGTAAATCTTTTCCAAAAGTAATAAAAACCAGGCATTTTCTCAATTTATAGTAGTATTTGTCACTAAATCTATTCAGGGGCAGATGGCCACTTCTTTGATCTTGTAATCTTTGTTTTGCTTTTTATCTGAGTTTTTCTTTAAGATCCAGAATTACCATTTACAGACTTATATTTAAACTTACTCTTATCCTTAAAAAATATGTCTTAATATTAATGCCATGATTACAAAAAATTGCCATCTTCTGTTCCAATTTTAACCACCTGGTAAGGTTGAGATGTTTTAGAAATAAAAAGATAACTGTTTAAATCCCAAAGCATCCCACTGTATGCACACACGATTGAAACAGCTCATGTGTTTTGAAAGTTCAAGCTTGGTACTAACACGTAGGGAATTGCTAACTTTAGCATTAATTTTCTGAGCTTGTTAGTAAGAGAAGCTTAAATACAATTTGTATGGAGACAGTTAAATGTGCAACTCTCCTGGCAGGTTCCTCTCTTAAATTTGTTCTAAGTGAGCAGAACTTTAACATGTTAATACTTTATGCCTTTTAGGCTAACTATAACCTACTTGTCAAATTCTAAATATTCCAAAGTGATAAATAATGTCATGTAGAATGGCAATATCCTGGTACATTTTGAGAGCTCAAAACTGTAGGTTTTGATTACATCATAAAAATGTCCATGCTTCCCTCTACTTGGAAGGCTGAGACACGAGGGTTGCTGCAAGCTCAAGGGCAGCCAGGGCTACAAAGTGAGTTAAGGCCAGGCTGAACAGCTTAGTGAGACCCTGTCTCAAGACAAAAAACAACAAAAATGTCTGAGTCACCTGATAACATACATTCTGCAGTGGTACATAGAAAAAGTTGGTTCAGAGTAGTGCCCAATGTGTCACACTCTCTTTCGCTTGCTAATTAAATGATTTTTAGCTTCCACTTTTTCCTTAGTAAACCCACTCAATAAAATGTCTGTTTTTCAAGAATTTAAGAGCTGCCATTTTCTCTCTGGAAAAATGCCTGTTATCACTTCCATACTATGCCCTATACGTTCTGTAACACAACAGTTTTCTGATTTGGGGCTTTGTATTTATTACTACCTTAGGAGTTTAAGTATATCCACTGTTCGCTACGGAATTTTAAAAATCCATCCTTCAAATGACACATCCTTTGAATTCAGGTTTATATCTGGCTCTGGAGTTCCCTTGAAAGTGGCTCAATCTTCTTATTTAATATTTTAGTCAAGGATGTTTTTATTAAGAGCTTGTTATATTTCAGGAGTCAAAAGCAATATTAGAGTGACCATTTTGGCCACTTTAAAATAAGCACTCCAAATGTTTATCTTAGCACTTTTAGATTTTTTTGCATTTATTTACACATCAGAGATGTTTCAGCGTGTCAATGCCATGTTGTTGATTCATATTACTTGGATGCCCAGATTCCTCCATGCTTATTGGCTAGCCAGTTGCTTCCATCTGTAAAGTTTATTATTTTTATTATCATATTCTGATTGTTCACTTATAGTTTTAACAGTTTGGATTCATTTTATTTGTGTGTGTCATCAACTTTACTCTGAAAATAGTGATACTGGCTTTGGGTTTTTATTTTAATTTTTTTTATTTTTACCTATTCACAGCTAAGTGTCCATGATAGTGGCAGTGTGACATCCATATTCCTAAGATTATTGATTTGACTGTCTTTGAAAAAACTCCTGAGAAAACATAGATTATGTGTATGTCATAGCCATGTTGCTTTTTTCAACTGAAATGTTTTATCTTGCTTTAGACTTAGAAATGTGTATATTTCTTAGAATTATAAGACAGTATCTTCCTTTTGTTTATACTGAAAAGTTACAAAATTCAAGTCAAATAATTGAAACATGCAGTAGTTCCACTTAGGTAATTATTTTAAAGTTGTAACTGTTGACTAAAGTATATATTTGTATAATGAAGGAAACATTATAGTACAGTATAGAAAAAATCAACACTAGGAGAGCGACTGGCAGACAGTACGAATGAATAGGCAGCGTGGGTCTCTCAACTGTGCTTGTTCCCTAGGAAATTACTGAGTTTCGTAGATCAGATTTTAAACATTGGTTAACATATCCTGAAAGATAAAGTCCCTAATTTTATAAGTTTTCCTCATGTTATAGAAAGACTCATTACTACAGGAAATCAAGTCTAGTAATAGATAATATGCATACTAAATGCTGAGAAGTTTAGCAGAGTTTTCAATGTTGAATATTTATGGATTGTTTTGTGGCAAAGTACACATAATATCTTTAGTTTATATATGAGTAGTAAGACACTATATTTCAAAATTCATAAAGAGACAACATCTTACACTTTAGTTTCAATAGCTTTTGAGTTCTAAAAATTGACTAGATTTTATTAGGAACTGTCGGAGCAAACAAGGAAAGATAAAGGGAAAACTGAGCTACCATTGGGGCATAAGCCCATGCGTAAACCAGTTCTTCCCTTAACCGTTTTTGAGTTTATTGTTTATTGGTATTAAGTACGTTCATCACCAGTGTCTGTCTCCAGGTCTTAGGGCCCAAACTGAAGCTCCGTTAGACAGCAGTCGCCTTTTCTTTCCTTCTCTCTTGTCCGTGGGAACCACTGTTACACTTTATCACTATACATTTAAGGTTTCTAGGTACCTCCTAATAGTGAATTCAGTATTTGTCTGTGTCTGACTTAATATCCAAGTATAAGTGTTTATCAGAATTTGACTTCATTGTGAGTCCGGATAATGCTCCACTGTATGCATGGTGTAGTTTGTTTATCCATTCATCACCTGATGAATATTTGGGTTCTGCGTTTTGGTTCGTAACCAGTGCTGCTAGGAACATTAGTTTACAGATTCCTTACTTTGATTTCTCTTGGGTAGATATCCACAAATTGAAATGCTGAATCAGATGATAAGTCCAGATCAGATGATAATTGTGTTTTTTAAGGAGCTGTCTTACTATGTCCCAGGGTAGCAGTAATGGACTGCATTCCTACTAAGTTGTTTCTATGTCTGACTCGTTGGTATTTTAATTTGGTAATTGATTTCACAGTTCTGAATCAGATTATTTTCAGAGACTTTCTCTGGAATTAGAGATGGATACTTTGATTCCAGATGTGTTGTCTTTCCAAAAATGTGGTCTTAGCCATAGTTAATATCCATTTTTGAATTATTTATAACTCAGGATTATTACAGTGTGATGCACACATATTAACAGTAATTCCCTCAATCTTTGTGTTCTCATATAATTCTAATTAAGTTGGTGAAAGAAGGGCTTTTTCAGAAAGGTTTTTTATTTTTTTATTTAAGGAGAAAAAGGAAAAAAAAAGAACAGAAAAAGGGTACAAGTAATATAAAATTTAAAAAATAGTAAGGGGCTGCGGATTTAGCTCAGCGGCATAAGCACCTGCTTGCAAGCAGGCAGTCGTGAGTTCGATCCCTGGTACCGATAAAAACGAAAAAGACAAATAATAATAATAAAATAAACAGTAAGAAATCACTAGTTAATAGATTACATATTCTCATCTTGGAAATAGTTGTTCAAGTTACAAAATTGAAGCATATAAAGTGGACTTTCAAACAGTGAGAGTGCAAACAGTTTTGTTCAGTGATCCAAAAAACAGTAATATGGTTATCTATCTTATACACTTAAACATATATGCAGTTATAACCTTTAGAGCACTTTCTTTTCCTTTCTTTTGTACAATGACAATTACACATTTTGGGTTTTATTACTCCCACAGTTCTTAGTACTTTTTTTTGAAGAGAGTGAAACCAAATGTGACATATCAGAACAGAGTCAGTCAAATCAAAAGGATGGACATAATAGATAATGTAAAAACAAAATATAAGGTGATCAACAATGGTTACCACACTGCCTCTTGTTATTTTAGGAAGAATTGGCAGTTATAATAAAATTGAACTAAACAGTAAAGAATAAAACCAAAGCATTGGAGACATTACAGGATTTAAAAAAAAATAATAGTCAATCGGAATGGGCATCATGATTCTTTATTGTCTTCACAGTTATGCCTATACTTTCAATCTTGGTACTATCAAGCAAAGCAGAATAGAGGAAAATCAGTCAAAACAAGATGGTGAGGGCAATGCAGGATTTCAAATCAAGTTAATAGGAAATCAAAGTAGGTTACTATAAATGTATCCTGCTATTTTTTTTTATTTTTCCCTTAATTAAAAAAATAAAAAGAAAAAAGTAAATAAAAAAGGGGGGGGATTGAGGTAAAAGAGGGCATAACAACAGAACAGCACAGGTCAAAACATAACCATTTAAGCAAACCAATGTTTCACCACAAGATATTCTGACATAAAAATAGTTACCATAGCGTCTCTTTCCTTGAAATCTTTGAGTATAACTTCTTATACTGTAGCACCAAACATATCACAACACTATAAAACCATTCAAGAGAATGACATTATTACAGGGTATTTAGAACCAATTGACAGAAAATGAACAATGGTTTCTATATAAACTCCTTGTCTATAAAAGTTTTTGCTTATATTATCATATATAATAAAATCCAATAAGATACAACACGTTAAAACCGATGGAGACTGAAGAATACATGTTTGTTGGGACTTCAAAACAAGATGATACTAAATCAGCACTAGCTATTATGATGCCTTGTTTTCTCCAAAATTGCTGTTCCTACCTTCTGATCTTCTCTGCCTCATTTCTGTTGAGCTCTTTTTCTGTCGTTTGTTGTCAGTTTGTCATTCTTCATTTCGTTTTCTGCTCCATTCATTGTGGCCTCTCTGCCACTATTTCTGGAATCTTGGTATTTTCCTTTTTTAGAATACCCTGCAGTATTCTCTGTAGAGTCGAATTGGTGGTTGCTAATTCCCCTAGTTCCTCTTTATCCTGGAAGCACCTTGTTTTTCCATCAATTTCTAGGGACAGTTGTGCAGGATGTATCAATCTTGGCTGGAGGTTATTATCTTTCAAAGCTTGAATTATTCCCCCCCAGACTCTTTGTGATTTGATGGTTTGTGCCGAGAAGTCTGTTGCAATTCTGATGGGTGTTCTCTTGTAAGTGATCTGTTTCTTGTCTCTGACGGCTTTTAATATTCTGTTCTTACATTGGATTTCTGGAATTTTGATTATTATATGCCTGGGTGTAGCTCTGTTTGGGTTGTAGGTTGCTGGGGTCCTGTATGCCTAATATATCTGAGTATCTTTACCATTTGCCAAATTAGGGAAATTCTCTTGGATTATTTCTGTGAATAGCTTTTGTAGTCCATTTGTTTGTGTCCCCACTTCTCTTATGTTCTTAAGTTATAGATCCTCTTATCTTCTAGTTTTTGTATAGTTGCTGTTTGTTTTTTTGTTATTTTTAAGAAGTTTTTCATTTCATGCTCCCATATTACAAATCTGCCCTCCCGTTCAGATAATCTGTACTTAGTTTCTTTCAAGCTGTTATGCCAGTTTTCGATAGTTTTTAGTTTCCTGGTAATCTCTTTGAACCTGCTTCATGTATTCTATATTTTCTCTATCTTCTCCATCAAACAATTCTCCCCTTTTTTTCTGTTCTTCCATCCCACCATCTGTTTTTTCTTCGGCAGTGCTTAGCATTTCTCTAACTATTCTGCTTATGACTTGCTTCAGGTCATTAATAACTTCATTCCTGAACTCGTCTATGAGGCTCTGGAGATAGCGCTTTATATCTATTGGTGCCGTGTCTGCTATTGTGTGTTTCTCAGGATTGGGGGCCGAGGACCCTTTCTTGTTGCTCCCTCTTCCCATATTCTTTGTTCCTTATATTTAAGCGTGTATAGGAGGCCCAGCTTCCTTCCCTGTCGGCCACAGTCTGTTTGAATTGTGCCAGCTAGGTGTTCCCGCCCCCTGCAGTGTACTAGGGAGACACAGACCTGGGCAGCCTCTGCTGGGCCCGCCCCTCCAGGTCAACCTATCCCAAGGCTTCACCTCTAGGCTGCACCTTCAGGTGCTGGGACCTGGGTTGGGCTAGCCTATTGGGTCTCAGCCAGCAGCATCTCACAGGCCAGGCACTCCCCACCAGTCCCGCTCGAGAGGGGGATATGTGACTGAAGTCACTGCAGCTTCTCGTTCTGGGAAGTCTGCCCAGTCCAAGTATGTCCTCCGCTGAAGCCTCCTTCTCTATGTAAGGGTCTGATTCGCTCACTCACCGCAGGTGGATGCAGGGCACCCAGCCAGTCCTGCTCCCAACTCCTTTCAAGGCTTCCCACTCTCTGAGCTTTCGCATCTCTCTCCCTGCTGGGCAACAGCTGGGATGCAACAGCAGGGATGCAACAGCGGCTGCAGGTAATTCAAATCGCAGTTTCCAGTGGCGGGGGTCCAGCTTCCGTGCTGAGACCTTATCTGTGCCTGCTGTCTCACCAGGATTGCGTTTCCAGATGGTTTCTCTTAATTTAGTTCGTTCCTGGTCAGCAAAGAATATCCCCCTTGCCTGGGACTTCCTGTCCAGCACCATTGCTAGATTTCAAGTGCAGTTTCTCCAAGAGCCTCAGAGGCTGCTGTTATCTATCCGCCATGTTCTTCTGGAATCTTCAGAAAGGTTTTTATAGGTTAGAAAATAAAATTATGGAAGTTATAATTATTAAAACATAACCTAGTGAAGGTTAATTTAGAACATGTACACATTAACTACAGTAGTTTTAAAAAACGCGTTTTGGAATTTTTTATAGGTTGTTTTGTTTTGAGATAGGGGTTTCACTATGTAGTTCAGGCTGGCCTTGAACTCATTGTGTCGTCCAGGCTGGCCTCAAACTGGTGACAGTCCTCCTGCCTCAGCCTCATAAATGCTGGGTTTATAGGTATATGTTCCCATGCCTGACCACTAGGATTTTTAAAAACTGAGAGTCATATTTGATTATGCTCACCCACTTAGCTTTTACTAGAGGGATGATGTGATTCATGGGCTTCTCCTCAGATGATCTCTCAGGGTCTGTCTTTATTTTCACTTGTTTCCTCCTAATGGAAAGATGGTTCCTAATACAATCTGGTCAGTTTTTTGACATTTAAAAACTTTTTAATATCGGTGGATATAATCTCTTGGTGATCCAAATTGCAAATAGATGGTGTCTCTGCATGCATTTTGAAATATGTCTTGCTGTTTGTGTACAGGTTAAGTATAGATTTAGCAGTTTTTTAATATGTGTATTTTAAAAGTATGTCTATAAAAAAGTAAAATCAAATATGCAAAAGCAAATCATAATTTAGTGATGTGTTTATTTCACTACAATTGGCACATGTACTTCATTGCTTATTGAGGTTTCTTGAAACTTTTTATTTGTTCCAGTACCTGACATTTATTTCCCCCCAAATTAGTAATGTCTTTAAAAGTAGTTAATCATTAGTATGAAAATGTTTTTGTTGATAGATACAAGACAAAACCATTTTGTCATTTAGCAGCTTATATGCATTTTTGAGACAACCATATATGTGGGCCTGAGATGGTAGCTCAGAGGCCCTGGTTTTAATCTGTAGCATTTAAAACCATGAAAGAAGCCCGAGTGAGTAATGGTCTTCTTATTTTTGTTCACCTGTTAGTATTGTGAGTATTGGTGTTTGTACCCTAAAACTTTGGATTCCATTTCAGTGCTTTATTTACCTTTTAAAGATTTTACTTGAGATTCTCCTAGAGTTTTGTTCTGTCTGTTACTGTGGGTGTGCGAGGCCCTGTGCCAGGTCTGTAGAGTTTTTTAAAAAGACATGTTTTGTCCTAAGCAGTAAACACCGTGTGGTTCGCTCCCAGTGTGTCTGTGTGTTGCAGACACAGGAGGTCCCTTCTCCATCCCTTACTGTCAGTGTGCTCAGGCCTCCGTCCTTCATCACCTACTCTTAACTCGCCTAGACATGTCCCTGTGTCGCTGTTTTAAATACCGCTGTGTGCTGGAAGCAGATCTCCAGTCAGGAACTTTCTGACACCGGGACGCACAAGGCCCCCTCTGCACGTGTGTTTCCATTTTGGTGCCTAACAGGCACTTCGGACTTCCGGCCAAGCAAGCTCAGGGGTTTCTTCCCTGAAACTTCTCCTGCGTCAGTCTTCCTCTTCCCCACCGAGGAGGCACAAGTCCACTGTTTCCATTAATCAGACTCAAATCTCTGGGTTTTTTCATTCATATCTGACATCTACACCAACCACAAATCCGTTAACTCAGCGTTCAGAATTCGTAATCTGTTAGAACATAAGCTTCGTTCTTCACTTCCTCACTCTGTTCTAACCACAACTGTGTGATCACAATGCCTTCCTTCCATTCCAATGTTTTCTTCTCTTACTTGTAGTCTTTTAGGAAAGCAGCTTTAAACAAATCAGATTACTTAGCTTCTGCTCGAAATTCTCCAGAAATTTTGAAACTCAGAGTAAAAGCCATGTCCTTCTCCAGGCCTTTCACAGCTCGCTATGATTTGATCCCCATCACAGCTCCTGGACCCCTCTCAACCCCTCTCATTCTCCTCTCATTCAATAGAACTCACGCTGGCTTCTTTGTTAGCCTTAAAACTAGCTGGCTCAAAACCAGTTTGGAATGCTTTTCCCTAGATATTTGTTGCTCCCTTGTCATTAATGTCACCTCAGTGAGGCTTCTCTTACTGCACTTTTTGAAGATGTGGCTTCCCATTTCCCCTATCATCTAATACACAGAATATTTTACCTTGTAAAAGCAGGAGGCCTGCTTCCTCCCATTAGAATGTAAGCTCCATGAGGGCAAGGGTGTTACTGATTTATGTACTCATGCATTTAGTGTCATAGTGGTGTTTGGCACAGAATAGAGGCTTGTCTGTTACATGCATGGCAGTTGAATTCTGGGAGCTCAGGGGGAAGACAGCCAGTCTTGCTGGAGGGTTCCAGGGAAGCCTCACAGAGCAGAATGTTCCTGTGCCGAGTCTTTGAAGATGGGTTCTCAAATGAGATTAAAGATAGAAAAGCTACCAAATAGAAGGACCTGCATCTGCAACTTAAATCAAGGTGCAGAGACTTGGGAATGTGCTGAAAACTGCCCAGTTGTACTGACAACATGTAAAGTTTGGGATTCCGCTAGCGTTTCATTCTCGTGTGAACAGCAGCTTTAAACAAATCCCAGGGAGAATGCAGGGATTGAACTTGCTCCTGCTGCCTGCCAGCTGGGCTGCCTAGGCGCCTAACTGGGTGAGCGAGGTGCCCTGTCAGTAGCTCTGAACAAATCAGATTATGCTTCTGCTCAGAATTCTCCAGAGATTTCCAAACTCATGGAACGCTAGACAATCGTGGGGGCAAGTAGGCTGTGGGGTACCTGTCACGTTTGACCTGAACGTCAGTTACATAAGGAGAGAAACTGGGTTTAGTCCAGGACCTCACCAGGGCAGCGTGGCCAAAGCAGAGAAGGGTGTACAGGAGAAGGCCGCCACGGGAGGGCATTACTGTGATACTTAACGTGCTCACTAATTTGGAAAAAATCATTGAAAAGAGTGATTTTGAGAGGGATTAAAAATTACCTTAAAGTTTAAGTGTGCATTGTCTTCTGTATAGTTTTTCCCACGTAAGTTTTTTATCCCTCTTTGTGATCTTCAATTTTTTGTTTTAAAAAATATTACTGGTAGATACTTTGATGTACGTAATAATGACAGTGTTCATCACAGGGACTTTGCACCTGCACATCCATCTTCTTTTTTCCCACGCCCCTCTTCCCTCCTTATTGACAAAGACCTCGCTTCCAGTGATTCCCTTCTAGTCTTTCTTTCCCTTGTCTCTTCTTTCCCTTCCCCCTTTTCTAATTTTTTTTCTTCTTTTTTTCCCTTTTATGTGGTGCTGGGGACAGAACTCAGGCCTTCGTGTATGCAGGGCAGACTCTGCCCCTGAGCCACATACATCCCCAGGACTCTCTTTCCATTTGAACATTTTCCTTCCCATTTCCCAGTATCTATCTGTCCCGCATTTTGGTCCTTATTTACATTAACCCAGCACAGGTCAGAAAAACGCTCTTTCTAGCAATCTCCTCCGACTCCCGCTGGTTGAAGCTGACACTCTGTGGCACGAACCCACCCAAGTCCAGGGAATTACACACAATGAAGTAAACATCTGTTCCCATAATTACCTTATAAGGTAAATATGCTCCATGTGGCCCTCGAATGACTTAATTTATTGAAATAATTTCATCATTAAAAAATAGATGCCGGAGGTTAGGGCCTGAGAATCCACGTGTGTGTTAAACATAATCTGCGGTCCAGGGGAGGAAGCAGAAGACTTGGAAATAATTGTGCCTGCTGCCAAGAGAACAGGAGGTCCCTGCAGAGAGCCGGGGAGCACCCAGCCCCTTGCTAATGTGGGCAGGGCGGCAGAGGTCAGCGTGCTTGTCCGTGGCTGCCCCTCGGCTTCCCTTTCAGGCCAGGGAACAGCTCAGTGAGTGCAGAGGTGGCTTCAGGGCTGACTTGTGCTAGGGGTACGGAGTGCGCGACGCCTTGGGGCTGGTTTCTGACACCAGCTCTGAGGGCGGCCGCTGTGTGAGACAGAGCTTAGGGTTAGGGGATGGTGCCCTGGCGGGAGGACTGCCATGGGCTGCAGGGTAGGCAAGTTCGCTTTTAACCTGGGCTACTTTCAGAAGCATCAGGGAGATCAAGAGAGCTCTGTATGTGTTCTGGGGCCACCGAAGAACCTTGATAAGAGAAGTGTTCACTTGTTCACCCACATACTCACGTGGTTTTGTTAGTACGTGTTTACAGTACCTGATTACATTCATCATGGAAGTTGATACATGTACGTAACACGTCTTGATTCTTATTTCCTCCCATCCTGTCCTCCATCTCTAGATCCCCTTTCCATTTGCAAAAGGTCATCCGAATATTTTAGTGCCTGCTGCCTACCAGCTTGCCATCGAGGGTATTACAGTGACTAAACTCTTGCCCTAATAAACTGACTTTCTGTGGAAAAGATAGAACACCAGGAAGCAAAGTAACTATAAAGTTGCAACTTGAGTAAAATTGTAAAATTTGTAAAACTTGTAAAATTACTAGGAGTTGACCATCCTTAAACTATAAAAATGATTTTATGATACTATGAAAAAAGTTGGGTTGAAAAAATACAGAGTTGATAATAAGAGGTTGAAATGTCAGGAAAAGTCTCTCTGAGGAGAGAGCCTATCCATTGCACCTGAGGGAAGAAAAAGGTAGCTTTGCTTGGCTTCTTCCTCCATTTAGAATGCAAATACCAGAGAATAAAAGAGGGCTGGGCCTGGCTGGGGCTGCGGCTACCGGCAGACTTAATTGTATCCAAAGAGGAAGCCAGCACTTCCTCAGCTGGGGCAGGCCCAGAGTGGACCTGATGTCCACCAGAAGGAACAAAGTGACTCAAAGAAAAGCATTCAAATACTCAAGTTTAATGTTGTGTGAAATTTGCCAGATTTTACATGTTAGCCATTTTGAACTTTTAGAAAATACATTGTAAACACATCAAGATATATGTATGCTCGCTAGAGGAGGCCTGCTCAGCAATTTCCAGCCTTTCTGCAAAGGCTCACAGTAGAGAGAATAGCACTTGCAAAGACCTCAGGCGAGCAAGGCTGGCCTCCTGCAGGAAAGACTGGTGGTGTCTCTGGAGCTTCGGCAACCAGAGGAGAGCGGTATGTGGAGATGGTCAGAAGGGGCCACATCACAGAGGAGCTTGCTAAACCATGCAGAAAGTCCTCGGGACCTGGACCCAACATCTGTTGATTAGTTGGACCCTGAAGACAAAAATATTCCAGCCAGAGTTAAACTAAGGTAACTTTGGTGGAGTCTGATGGTCAGATAGAATGCAAATTTGGTTGAGCTGGGACTCCACGAACCCTGTACCCTGAGGTCACAGTGCTGCTTGTGCTGGAGGAAGGAGAGCTTGTTCTAACCCACAAAAAGATGTCGCAACACTGCAGTTGTCCCTGAAGGTAAGTGTCTCAGTCCATTTTACCTTTCAGAGAAAAGCCCAGTGGCCAGGGGAGGAGGCACATTGCCTGTAATCCTCGTACTCCAGTGGACTGAGGTAGGAGGATCGCTGTGAATTCGAGGCCAACCTGGGCTACAAGAGTGAATTCAAGCCCAGCCTGACCTACAGAGGGACACCCTGTCTAAAAACAGAAGAAAATAGGAAAAAAAACAGAACAAAAAGCCCAATGACAACCTTAGCAGCAGTGTCTGCATTTGGATTTTGGCTTTCTTTGAAGTGGAAGACTTTTTCATTTTATTACAAAGCACATTTCCAGTTTAAAGCCAACTGAGATATGTTTAATTATATTTGTAGACCTATTCTATCACATAATGTGTCTATTCATTTACAGACCAAGGTGAACATATTAAACCTCAAGTTAAAATACAGAAAATACAGCAGAGATCAAACTGCACATCAAGTTCTTTCATCTATTTGGTCAAATTGTTAACTTCAAGATGCGATAAAGTTTGGATTCAAATTAAAATATTTATTATTTTAATAAATAATATTAAGACCCTCCCATCAAAAAAAGAATCTGCTCAAGAGAGCTTAGAGACCTGGAGCAAAATAATATTGACGTGGAGATGGATGTAGGTAGAAATAAGCTTTAAATACCCACTAGGCATTGAATAAAGTATTTTAGAAACTTGGTGAACAGGACATTAGTGGTATGAACTAAACTTTGTCTAGAGAAAATCTAAGAGGCAGCGGACAGAGAGAAGGGTCTTCGTGCTTGGTTAAGGCGGAGGAAAAACTCAAAGGAATTTAGGGGGCTCCACGTGAGGTCTGAGGGAGGTCGGGGGACGGCACTGAGCCAAGTTTAGGGTGTAGGTTCATCGGCCACCTGAATGCATGCTTGCATGAAGGGAATGCTAAATCAATGTTCAGAACTAAATGTGACTAAGCAGTTCATTAAAGTTTACAAGTCAGTTCTTTGGCACTTACTGGGCTATATGGAGAGAGGAGCACAATAATTTTCAAGATGTTATATGCTGGTTATCTGATTTACTTTGCAGATAAAAATAGACCTGACTTACCTTAATTATTCTTTATGGCATTTTTATTTATTGAGTTAAGTGAAAATTACATTTTTAGACACAGTTGCCTAGATAGCATTTTGCTATTTGTTTTTAGTACTGAGGGTTGACCTTTGCATTGGTATATATCCCTTGATCCTTTAAAAAAAAGTGTTTTGGTTTGTATTTTAAATTTTGAGACAGGATCTCACTAAGTTGCTCACATTTGCAATCCTGGCTGCCTCAGTCTCTTGATAAGATAGGATTACAAGTGTGTGCTGCTGTACCCAGTTATATTTTTAAAAAGATTAGTACATTTTAATTACCATATTAAAATGAAGGTTGGTGAAATACTTAGGTAAGGGGCTGGGGATTTAGCTCAGCAGCATAGGCACCTGCATTGCAAGCAGGTGGTCATGAGTTCGATCCCCAGTACCGATAAAAAAAAAATACTTATGTAAAGGCTCAGATACCACATATATTCGATTCTGTGAGCCAGATCACCTCTGTGTCAGCTCTGCGGCTTCATAGTTAAAGAGCAAAAACATCTATAAGACATGTAAATGTGTTCCAATGGAAATTCATTCACAGGTATATCTAAATTTCATATAAATTTCACTGTCATGCATATTTTGATTTTTAAAAAATATTAGAAGCATTCTTAAATTACTGGTACCAAACAGGCGGCAGGTTGGATTTTATCCACAAGCCAGTTTGGTGCTCCTTGAATTAAAGGATTTAAGAAACAGGTACATTTCTCCAAGGGCCAGTGGCATGACATTTTCAGATGTGTTGATTTTTATTTTTTCCTGTTCTGAAGATTGAACTCAGGGCCTTCACACAACTACATCTTAGTCCTTTTTTAACTTTTAATTTCTGAGGCAGGGTCTCATTAAAAGGCCCAGGTTGAGCTCAAACTTACAGCCCTCCTGCCTTTCAGAGCGTCAGGCTTAGACAAGTGCTGATACCTGGTTGAGCTTCCTTTCGAAGTCTGCACTCTGTTTTCATAGTAAACTACTTTTGGGTGTTTGTTTTTGTGTATACATTTTAGAATGGGTTTAAACTGTGTGGGGGAATACGGAGGAAACTTTTGCGGATTAGCCTGGAAAGAAGTTACATCTGACGTTAAGCTCTTCTAATCGTGGTTGTGCAGTCTCTCCCTCTTCATTTAGTGCCTTTCAGCCGTGTCTTACTGCTGTTTTAGTGCATGTTAGTAAAGTACGTGTAACTAAAGTTGGTAAAATCGTGTATTTCTTTTGTTAGATTTATTTTATAATTTAGCATCTCTAAGAGCCACATTTGAAAATTATTTGTGGCTGCTATAGACAAATGCAATTGATTTCTGTTTGCTGAATTTAACTTAGGAACTTTGCTGAATTCTTACTTTGTTTGAGAAGTCATTCTGCTTTGCATTATCCTAATGCTAAATGTCGTACAGTTTTTTTTATTAATTGGCCATTTCTTTTTCTTTTGAGAATTGGTTTTGTTTGCCCGTTTATTGATAGGGAGGTTGATGTTGAGTTCCTTATATATCTTAGATATTGATCCACTGAGGCTTTCTTAAACAGGAAAGTATAAAATTAAGTACAGTTCCTGTGTATATTGAGATAACTGTATCTGTGCTTCAAAACTTGTTAGTACGTTGAGCTAGAAAACCAGATACATGAAACGTAAGTTTATATTCCTGGACTAACTTACCTGACATATGTCCCAGCCTACTGCGTGGTACACTGCCGCACTGGAGTGTCCTGCCCATCTGAACTGTGTGTGTCCCCGCTCTGCACGCCTGCAGCTCGCACTGTCTTCACAGTAGTTTAATCTCATGGCGCCGCCTGGTGGCCAGTTTGGGAAATTTCTTTTTCTTTTTTTTTTTTTTTTTTTTTTCAGTTTGGGAAATTTCTGATTTATGTCTCTTTCTACGGAAATGTACGCGTGATGTTTCTCTGTAATAAGTACGAGTTACGTTCATCCTGTTTTCTCTCTCGTGCCTTATGTTTATCCACTTACTTCCCCATCCTCCTTTCTCTTGAGCTTTACATTTTCTTAGTAATACAGTCTAGAAAACCATTCCTTTTCTTTTTTGCTCTCTCTCTCTCTCTCCCTGTGCCCCTTTACAAGTCTAAATTTACCAGTCATTGTGATCATGAGTCGAAATGGTGATTACAAAAAAGTAAAACTATGCTGATAAAATGCCCTTTGATATCATAAAGGGCTAGCTCTGCTTGCCTTTGAAATCTTTGACAATATTAACAATTCCCTTTAAAATATTCTTAAATTTCAAGTACTACTTAATCATCTTCTAATTATTTTGCCCAGTTTAACCTCACATTCAAGTATTAAAGAATATAAAATTGTTGATAAATCTCATTTCTGTGTTTCTTTATTATCAACTTAGACAATTTTGAAATTTTCCACCATATCTTACTGGAAAGATTCAGGTTTTCAGGTTAACAACTGCCTGGAAATGGAGCCATCGCCCATAACGATTTGTAGGGTAACCAGTCCACCACAGACGTGGTTTGAGTACATAATCCATGTAGAAGCTAGAGACTGCCAGTCACCAATTTCCGATTGCTTAGGAAACACTCACTGGTAGGGCACTGCTTCCGTCCGGGAAGTGACAGGTGAATAAGGGCCGGCTTGCGGCTGCCTTGTGGAGTTAACTGTGACTGTTTCTGGGATCTCTAGGGCTGTGTCTGAGAATGGCAGGGGAGTCGGCTGAGGAACACCGAGGAAGGGGCTGCAATTGATCTCTGTGGCCACTGCGAGTGGTCATTTTCCCTGTGTCTGACCTGTCCCACCCCTGCCCTTTAGCCGGCAGGTGGTACACACCGAGAACTTGCTTATTGAAAGACAGCAGCTGTGGATTTCAAAACAGGCAGCACACAGTATTTTGGCTTCATTAGACTGCCTGTTACCAGAAAGAAACTTCAGGAGAGAAGTAGAAATAATCCGTAATAGCTATGAGACCGCGTTACTTAGACACTAAGGGGGTTCTGATGTTGATGGCTTTGAGCCCGGCTATTCTTGTGGAACTGATCAGTTTGTGTAGAGCTGCTGTAGTTCTTAAGAGAATTCTAGCTGCTGTTTCAAAGACAGATTTAGTGACTCTTACGCTCACTTTCCAGTGGTGGAGCTTGAAAGATGAATTTAAAATTAAAACAAGAGTGTAAAGATTAGGAAGGTTATTCGGCAGTTAGTTGTTCACTTGGTCCTGTATTAACCCGGAGCAACAAAGTGTCCTGGCATTGAAAGCTGCCGAGCAGGCCGCGCTCCTCCGCATTCAGCTTCCTTCTCTGTCTTTTGCTAAATGCTCTTTAATATCTTGATGTCTCTTTTGAAAGGTGGGGACCCAAACTGTACGCACTGTTCCAGATGCGCTCCTGCCAAAGCAGTATAAAGCAAATGTAACAGAACAGAGGCATCCTCTCCAGGTAGGTACCTCTGGGAGCTGTGGTCAGCGCTAGCCCACACTCACAGCAGCCCTGTCACGGTGCTCTGAGACCTCAAAAGACCCGCATCTGTTCATCCACAGGCGGGGCCTTGACGCTGTCCAAGGGGGGAGCCGCCGAGAGCACTCTCCAGCCACCTCTGCAGCACAGTGCCACCGTCTGCAGTCTCTATGCAGCACTTTGCATCTCTTGGGCTCCTGTCAATCAAGCACATCTTATTCCAATTTAATAGCTGTAAGGTCAGCTAGAGTTTACTAAAGGGACGCTCCATCTGTAATCTTAGTGATCCAGTTGGTCTTATTACTTTAGAAGTTTCTCTCATGCTTAGAAAGACCCTCTCGGTCAGGAACAAGAATAGTTAACTTAGTGCGAGCTCACACAGGACAGGAGTCTTGCTGGAAAATTTTCCTTTAAAAAATAATTTCACCTGTACCAATAAAGTGCTTTGCATGTATTTTGAGAAGAAGGATTAAGGAACTCTTCATTAATCAGGTTAATAAAAGTATTATGCATTCACCTCAAGCTGACAGTATTTTAAAGTCATTTCTCAACAAAATTACCTGAAGAGCTTGTTTTAAAACATTTCTTTTCTTGCAGAAACTAATTTCATCTCAACTCTAAGTAAAACCATAACAGTTTATCCTATATAGATTAAGGATGCTATGTGTGATTTCCTGATTAAGCCTCCTAAGGTTTTATAAACCTAATTCTAACCAAATGTGCATATATTTGAGATAATCCTTTAAGGTATGGAAGAAATATCCATTATTGCAATAGAATTTTTTAGATTTTTTTTCTTGTGACAGAAAAAATTGTTATATATAAATTTTCCCAATGACTTACAGTAAGGCAGTGAATTTTTACAAACAATTTGCTTCTTCAGTCCTGAATTTTGGATTGCTCTGAGATGAAGTTAAGCATATACTAGAATCCTTGGTATCTCTTGGTACAGTCATGAGACTTTCCTTGTTTCAAAGTCCACTTGAAGAGTTGTGACACATCCACCATAATGTGTCCTCATCTGGAAAGGGTGTAACTGATTAAAAATTCCTAAAATTCAGCTAGTCTTATTCTGGGTGTTTGAACTAGAATCTTTTGTTAAAATACAATTTAAAATTCCACAGATTGGTACAAGTAATATTCTTAGCTATTCATCTTTAGACCATTTCTTCCAGTGCAAGAATTCATTTATGTAACACACTCTTTTTTGTTTGTTGATAAGTAACATTTTGACAGAGAATCTCAATGATCCAGAGGAGATCGTGTGAAGGGGACGAGGGAGGTGGCAATGCCACATTCTCAGCTAGAAATATCACCTAGTTCTGAATCTTGAAAGAACCACTCCCCTCCTTAATTGATTTTACTGTTATTGATCCCATATTGATCGGGAGAGGGACTAGTGTTTCTCTCCTGGCACTGTTTCGCTATGCACATCACGAGGGGCACCAAGTGCAGGACGATGATGAGGGATCAGAGGTGCCATCCCGGATGGGCTACACCTGCCCGGTTTCATTGCGGGTAGAAACTCACACAGTCTTGGACAGACATTTTCCAAATTATATTAAGCCCCCAACACTGGTAATGTCTCTGGGCCTCTTGCTTTCAATGTGCATGCCTCTTCTCTGAAGTTCTGGGTTAATTTTTGCTCCCAGACCAAGTTGGACTTGACCTGAGAGTCCATCTCCTGGGTCTTCGAATCGTGATGCGGCCTCAGGCAGGGCAGGTGGCGCTGGTGTCAGTGAGGTAAACCCAGTCCTTGGGTACAGGTACCACACAGGCTGTTTAATACTTCTTCTGGTGCTCTCATCATAAAGTTTCGTGGTTATTACATGAAAAGGAGGATATCTGTGCCTTAACCTGGTGTCTATATCATAATTCTGGATTGGAGCTTTGTAGAATTTATTTACTACATTAGATTTAGTTTGAGCCAAATACAATTCTTTTGGGTTGGTTTGTTTTGAGACAGGGTCTCGCTTGTGTAACCTGGGCTAGTCGTGAATTCATGACAGTCCTCCTGCTTCAGCCTCAGGAGCAGGGATTACAAGATCTGCCACCACGGCCAGCTAGCCACACCTAATTCTAACCAGGCTAAAGAGACTGTGGAGCCCTGTATTTTGACGCTCTTTGCCTCGCTCTATTTCCTCAGCGCCCTTCCCCTCCCCAAAGGCAGCACGCTTTAGAATTTAACTTACAGGTGTGGGGAGGCACCCAGACTCACGCCTTTTTACAACCCCATTCGGGAAACACTTTTCATCCTTCTGGCCTGACTCTTCTGGTGATTTTTTCTGCCCTTACACAGGTCCCTGGCGACTGACACATGGCGAACTTTAGGATAAGGACACACCAAGACAGTCCTGGTGTTTGGAACTCCCCCAAAGTGTGCATCGCAGCTGAACTCGATGACCTGGTACTCCCTCGAGCGTGGCTCTTGCTGATGGCTCCCTCCTCCTCTCGTGGCTGTTGGGTTTTCCTTTCTTGCTGTTTTCTCTTTCTGAACCCCTCTTGACTGCCTTTCCCAGGGCCAGGCCTTAGGAAGGTGCCCCAGGACTTGGGATTTCTGCACTGCACCCGCAGCCCCAAGACATCATCCCCCAAACATATGCCTAAAGGCGTTGGCTTCTGAGAATCCACTTTTTCTGCATGACTAGCTTGTAAGGAGGAATCCAAGGGGGGAATTTTCAAGAGTTTTCCATTTTAACAAAATGTATGTGGCTGATTTTGGGCAAGCTCAGTGGTGCACGCTCTGTTCCCATGTGATTCTCTGTGGAATCTGCAGAAAGTGACGCAAACAAAATTTTTCTTGTCTGGGCTGTTTGTATAATTGTATATAAATGTAGCAATAAATCTATTCTATCATCAGTTTGGCCTTACTCTCCGTTTTATTCTGCATCCTGATGGCAGGCAGTGACACCTTCTTAAGGAACCCCCCACCCCGACCAGTGGGGCCTGCTCACCCGTCTCAGATCCTAATCTTATCTAATTTCACAGCGTTGGGGTTTGGCCAGTGTTGGAGAAGGGGTGGAGGAGGATACAGTGGCAGAGCTGGGACATGGAACAGCATTATTAATTCAGGAGATGGCACTGCTCCTGGCCCTCGAGGAGGTTTGAATGTCCAAGAACTGAAGCTTAGAGGGCTGGGTGATGAGTGCCATGTGAGTCAGCTGTCTTAATAGTCATCCTGACACTCTTCAAGAACAGGCCGTGCTGCAGTGCTGTGACAGGTACTCACAGGCACAAAGGCACGTTCAAGATTGCAGAGCACAACACAAAATATGCCCATGTGACATCAGATTTTCAGTCTGTCACTGATGATTGTTAAGGGCATTTAGTAAGTTTAGTTGTTTTAAAGACAATTTCCTTCTACAGGAAGGCAGATAAGATACAATATGTTTCTCTATTATCAAGAAATATTCTCTTATCAAGAAATATTTTATTCAAATATTTAATTTGTCTTAATTAGATTGAAATAATCTTTATGGTATAAAAAACAACCATATACTTTTTGCGGGTTTTTTAAAAAAATCAAATAGCTTTGTTGTAACTTCATATTAGGCCTTTTCTTGAACATAAACAAAAAGTCAGTTGTAAGCTATGGGGATGCCAGTCTGTAATCCTGGCAGTTGCGAGGTCAAGGCAGAAGGATCAGCACAGGTTCCAGGCCTGCCTGGGCTGCAGCAGCCTGGACTACATAGTGCTCCTGTGACTCAAGAAACAAAGCAAAACAACAAAACAGAGCAAAAAATACAGGAATGCTACAGGCCAGAAGTTAGAATATCCTACAGCAAGAGTTTGCAACCCTTCAGAGACTTCCTATTCCAGAAGAAGAATACACACTGAAAGGGACTTGAAGGAATCACGTGGTTGAACCCTCCTGACTTGGAGCTGACAATGCTGTAGTGGCTGGGGCTCACCTGTTCTTACTTCTGCCTCTGGGGTTCGTCAGAGAACCGAAGCCCCCAAACGGAAGGACAGAGGCTGCCTTCGCAGGGGATTCCCGTGTGTCAAATCACTTTATCGCCTTTTCTACAGATAGCTTTTGCTCGCCCATGGAGCCTAATCCTGATCTTGGATTTACCTTTTGGACCTGGCTCTCCACAGGAAGCCCACAGATCCTGCATGGCTCCGACACACAGAGCCATGCCCAGGCTCCGACAGTGGAGGGTGTGACCATCTCCCCTGGGTTCAGTATCGGGAAGGAAGCCCAGTTCCCACCCACACAGGCCACATTCTCCAGCAAGAGCTTAGCAATCCTTAAGTCTTCTCCTGCTTTAAAAACTTTTAACTTAATGAACCATTAATCACCTTAATGTTCGCCCTTCACCATCCATCAGAATCACCTGGAAGATCTGCTGAACACAACACTGCTGCTGGGTTTTACCTCCAGTTTCTGACTGAGAGGTCAAGGATGGCGCTCAAGCGTCTACATTTCTAGCAAGTTTTGGCGAGCCTGAGCTATTGGATGGAGGGCTCCTTTAACACTCAGACGCACTTGGCTAAGAAAATTCTATTTATTTCTTTCCCTCAACCTCTCAAAGAACCGAATGTTCTCAAGGCTGTGTGAGTCAGCCAAGCAGCCTTGCTGAACCAGGGCCAGCAAAACACTCCTTGGTCAGTACGAGCAACTCTTACAAATCAATGTCCTCTGCCGGCCGCAGCCCGGGGGAGAAGCAAATGTCTACAGATTACACTCATTTTGGTTCTAAGTAGAACACAAGCTAAATCAATGCCAGCCATATATCAGTCCTAACAGGGTGATCTAACACAGGATCGAAGAGATGCATGCCGTTCTTCTTTGATAAAACCTCACAGAGCATCATGCACAAACACTTAGCTGAGAATTTTAATAATGGTAAAGATAGTGGGTTTTATAAAATTTCCATTGAAATATAAAGTGGCAAACATTTATGGATAAGGGAACAAATCCTTATAGACCGAACACATCTGTGGAATCAGCACAAGACCACCAACAGAACAGCCGTCCCTGCAGAGGTCCCCAGGCACATTTCTCGGGTCCTGGGCCTTTTCTCCAGCATCAGTCCCTGCTCAGACCCTCGGAGGGCAGATGCATTTCACCTTGCTCGGACTTTACACACATGAAGTCGTTCAGCAGGACTCTGCAGCATTGCGTCTTTTAAATTGTTTTTGCCTGGTTGCATTGTTGCCAACCGCATGACACCTGTTGCTGGCCTTTGGCATCAGGCTGGTCCATGCCTGCTTGCAAGCCCTTCCCGTCCTCTCGGTCTACACCTGCCCCTCCCACCCTGCACCTTCCTGCAAGCCGCTCCTACTCCAACCCCACTCTGTCAATCAGCATGGGGACAGATCCTCCAAGGTCGCACACTGCAGAGACCCTTTCCTTCTCTGTGTGCCTTTGGTGCCCTGCAGGGTCACAGGAGATGCTCGTCTCCCCAGGGACACACATCTCGTCCCCCCCTGCATCACATCAGAACTAAACACACAGCCCTCTCAGCTGCAAGGCCATGAGCAAACGGGAGGGGAAGGACTGTTTGGTATCGGTTTTGTGTGGGTATAACAGAGGGGCATACGTACCGTATGAAAGGAAGGAGGTTTATTTTACTTGTGATCCTGGTGGCTGAAGGAACATCGTGGTTCCAGCAGCCAGAGGGAGATCCGTGCTGTACACACCAAGGAGCAACCAGGGTAGAAGACAAGGACACGTGGTGGGGGGCTCACTTACAGCCACCTATGCCAGGGGGCGCTCCATCCCCTGTGAGGGCGGTGCCCACGACCTATCACTTCCACTCTTAAAGGTCATTACCAGCTCAGGGCTGGGCACTGCACTTCAGCAGAGGAAATGAAGGATGGATTCTACTGACATCCAGCCATAGCACGCCCTCCTGGCTGTGCCCCCCAGGAATCGACCTGTTCTGGAGGGCCCGGTCCTGCTGTCCCCTTGCCCTCGTCCACTGTGTGCTTTCACCCCTCTGCATGTTCTTTTTTGTTTTTAAAATTTTTTTATTTTAAAGAAAATGAAACAAAACAGAACAGAACAAAGCAAAACAGAACAATGTAAGCAACACAACACAGGACTTCACAACAAGACAACAGGACATCAACAGTGGCGACCATAATGTCTCTGGTTTTCTTTGAAATAGTTGACTATATCTTCACACACAATAATATCAAACATAACAAAATAGTGGAAAGCCAATCAAAAGAATGAAAGCATTACAGGACTTCAAAACCAAATAACAGGAAGTGAACAATGGTTATTATAATATCTCATTTTCTTCAAAAAGTTGTTCATACTGTCACACATAATAAAATGAAATAAAACACAATGGAATACAACCAAGCAAACAGAAGAATAAAAAGCATGACAGAACTTCAAGACAAGATGACAGTAAGTCAGCAATGGCTACCATGATGTCCCGTTTTCTTCAAAATACCTGTTCATCCCATACATGTAATAAAATCAAACAAAACAAAACAGAATAAAGCCAATTAAACAGATGAATGAAAGCATTATGACTTCAAAACCATATAATAGGAAACCAATCATGATTACCATAATACATCCCATTATGTCCAAAATAGCAGCCCATCCATCAGACAGAGTAAAATCAAGACAGAACAAAAGCCAAGCCTAACAAAATTGTGAAAACCATTCAAGAGTTCAAGACAATAAGAAATTAGTAGTTGCCACCTTTCCCTCCCAGGTGTTTCCTGCTCTGTCACTTTTATAATTACTGTTTTGTTTTTTGGATCCCATTAACTCCTTCTGTTTTTTATGCTGGAGTTCACTCATATGAGTTCAGACTGCTTCACGCGTGAACATGATCTCCAATGCATCCATTTACCTACAAGAGCTATGAGATTATTTTACTTTGGAGCTGGGCAATTTTCCATTCCATGAAAATATCATATCTTTCTTATCCATTCTGCGATTGATAGGGAAGTTATTCTTGCTTTTTTTTTCTGGTCTCCTGTCACGTGGGACAATTGTTTTCTCTCCTTTGATCTTCAGCCTATGAATTTCCTTTCCAGTTAAATGTATTTCTTGTACACAGTATACCGATGGATCTTGTTTCTTGATCCACTCTCCCTGTGTTTCTTTCTATTGCTGAACTGAGGCCGTCTTTATTAACGTTGAATTGTCTCTGCCCTGCTGTCCTCCTGCTGTTGGCCCTCCACTTCCCCCTTCATTCAGTCGCCTGTCCTGTTTGGAATCCTCCTCTGCTGCTGTTCCTGGAACCATGTTCATCTTTATCTCTCTCTAGAATATCCTTTAGCTAGCTCTCTATAGGGTTGGTGCTCATGAATTCCTTCAGTTGTTCTTTATCATGGAAGTATCTTATTTTTCCATCAATTTTGAAAGATAGTTCTGCAGGGTACATAAATCTGGGTTGGAAATTGTTTTCTTTCAGGATTTGAAACAGCACTACAAATTCTTCTTGATTTGATGGTTTGTACTGACAAGTCTGCTGTGATTCTGATTGGTTTTCCTTTATAGGTGGTCTGTTTCTTTTAACAGTTTTTAATATTCTGTTCTTGTGCTGAAATTCTAGGATCTTGATTATGATGTCTGGATGTAGATTTACTTTGGTTATGGCTATTTGGAATTCTATATACCTCACTTATCTGGATGCCATATGCTTTTCCCATGTTTGGGAAGTCTTCTGTTGTTACTTCTGTAAGCGGCCTTTATTTTAGTTTGTGTTGACCTCCTCTTCGCTGATACCATCACTCCTAGATTATGCTTCTTTGCACTGAGTTGTTATTTCCTGGTTCCTGGTTATTCTTAACAGCTCTTTCCTTTCACAGTCACAAGCTGCACACCTGTCTTCAAGGTCTGAAGGTCTGTCTTCAGTTTCTTTCAAGCAGTTTGCCAGCTTTCA